AGCGCTGCTGTAGCCTGAGCAGCCTGGTTTGGGGAAGAAAGGGTGTTTTCCTCAGATCTCCTGCTGGAGTGGGACAGGAGGGGCAGGAGCTGTGTGCGCTCTGTTGCTGCACACAAAGTCCCTCATAGATCCCACAAATCCAACCCCTGCTGCTGCCTCAGCCTGGTCCCACATGCATCCCTTTGCCCCCCAGCCCTCTCAGCTCCCCACTCTGGGCTGGTCACCTGCAGAGCCCTCTGCTCTGGGCTCCTCTGCTCCCCGCGGTGACGGCTCCTCTTTGCCCTGCACGCATTGAGCTGCTGCTGCCCCGCTGCCCTGTGCTGAGCTCTGCCAGCCCTCGGTGAGCCGCGTGCCCCAGGGCCGGCTGTGCGATGACAGCGGGCTCGTCTCCGCCAGGTTCAGCAACCTGGGAGTGCTGCACGTCACCAAGAAGAACATGATGGAGATCATGAAGGAGAAGCTGAAGCAGCAGAAGATCCGCAACAAGAACAGCCTGCTGACAGGTGGGGGCAGCCTGGGGCTGTGGGGAGCGGGGACCTGCTGCGGGGTGGCAGCTGCGGGGCTGGGCTGGGCATGGGGTCTGACGGCATCTCCCCCCGGCCCGGCAGAAGCCGAGCTGCGAGAGATTGAGCTGGAGGCAAAGGAGCTGAAGAAGGTGATGGACCTCAGCATCGTGCGGTTGCGCTTCACCGCCTACCTTCGTGACAGCAGCGGGAACTTCACGCTGGCCCTGCAGCCCGTCATCTCGGACCCCATCCACGACAGCAGTGAGTGCGGGGCCAGCTCCTGCTGGCGGGGCGTGGGAGGGGTGGGCTGTGTGGGTGCTGTGTTGGGCTGATGGATGCGGCTCTGCCATCTGTCCCCGGGTGGCTTGGCTCTCATCATAGCACAGGTGACGAGGGGTGAACGGCTCCGTTTTGGCCAGCCCGGCCCCTGGGACCCCCAGTGCAGTGGGCAGGGGACAGGGCAGGATGGGTGGGGAGCTCGTGGTTAATCTGACACCACGCCTCTTTGCTCTGCAGAGTCCCCCGGGGCTTCCAACCTGAAGATCTCGCGGATGGATAAGACGGCCGGCTCGGTGCGGGGCGGGGATGAGGTCTACTTGCTGTGCGACAAGGTCCAGAAAGGTAAAAGGCGTCCCCTCCAGCTGCGACACCCTGCAGGGGCTGAGGTGGAATCGGTCCCAGCCCCAGGGCCCCGAGGTGGCCAGGCTGCGTGGCCGTGTACCTGGAGCCCGGCCAGGCAGTGAGACAGGCGGTGCCAGGCCCTTTCCCCCCCCAGATGACATCGAGGTGCGCTTCTACGAGGATGACGAGAACGGCTGGCAGGCCTTCGGGGACTTCTCCCCCACGGACGTGCACAAGCAGGTACGGGAAGATGGGGGGGCTCCGGTCGTGCCCCTGGGCTGTGGGTGCCCCACAAGGTGAGGTAGCCCCGTCACTGGCTCCAGGCAGGAGCGGGGCCAACGTCCCTCTTTCCTGCCCGCAGTATGCCATCGTCTTCCGCACGCCCCCCTACCACAAGCCCAAGATCGACCGTCCCGTCACCGTCTTCCTGCAGCTGAAGCGGAAGCGAGGGGGGGACGTGAGCGACTCGAAGCAGTTCACCTACTACCCCGTGGTGGAAGGTGAGCGCCGAGGGAGGGGTGCTCTCAGCACCGGGCCGGGCGTTCTCCCCCCGGCCCTGAACCTCCCCGGTCTCTCCCTGCAGATAAGGAGGAGGTGGAGAGGAAGCGCAAGAAAGTCCTGCCCCAGTTCCCCCAGCACTTTGGTGGGGGCTCGCACATGGGGGGAGCCGGTGGCGGCGCCGGGGGCTTCGGATCAGGAGGAGGTGAGTCAGGAATCCCTGCTCCCCGCTCCACCAGCCTGACCCTGACCCTGACCCTGACCCTAACCCTGACCCTGACCCTGACCCTGACCCTAACCCTGACCCTGACCCTGACCCTGACCCGCCCCCTTGCCCCGCAGGTGGGAACCTCAGCTTCCCCTACTCGCCCGGGCTGGCGTACAACAGCATCTACTCGACCGGCCCGCACCCCGTGGGGGGGTACCAGGGTGGCGTGCAGATGAAGGCCCCCAACGTGGACGGGGACGAGGGCGACAGGCAGGTGCCTACGGAGAGCTTATACTGCAAGGAGCTGCAGAAGCAGGGTAGGAGGAGAGAAGGGGCTGGGAGACCTGCCCTGGGGCAGAGGCCGTGCCCGGAGAGGCGGCTGGCGGGGGTGCCCGGTGCTGATGTCCCGCTTCGTGCCGCAGCCCAGGTCTGCCACCTCTGGATGCTGGCCCTGGCGCGCCGCAACGCTCACGCCCTGCTCGACTACTCGGTCACGGCAGACCCCCGCATGCTGCTGGCTGTCCAGAGGCACCTGGCCGCCTCGCAGGACGAGAACGGGGACACGTGAGTGTGCGGGGCGAGGGGCACACGGTGGGACAGCACGAACCGTGCTGGCCGTCAGAGCCCAGCCCCGGGGGTGGCATTACAGGGCTGGGGGCAGCAGCTGGTGGGGAGGCCCTGGGGACACGGAGCTGGGACAAAGGCTGTCCTCTCTCCCCGCAGGCCTTTGCACCTTGCTATTATCCATGAGCAGACGGCTGTGATCAAGCAGCTGATCGACGTGATCGTTAGCATCCCCAGCCCTCAGATCATCAACATCACCAACAACCTGCAGCAGGTACGGGGCTTTTCACGGAGGAGGGCTGAGGGGAGGGTCTCCCCTATCCAGGGCTGGTGCCTGCATCCAGGTGCTGGGGGCTGCTGCCCCCTGCCCGGGCTGTGCGTGAGGGGTGCCGGGATGGGACCAGCTCTGGTGACGGGTGTCCCTGTCCTGCAGACGCCGCTGCACTTGGCCGTCATCACCAAGCAGCCCCAGGTGGTGCAGCTCCTGCTGCAAGCCCGTGCAGACCCCACCTTGCTGGACCGCTACGGCAATTCCCTGCTGCACCTGGCGCTCCACACGGGCGACGAAGAGATGGTGAGGACGCTGCTGGCCCACCTGGGAGCAGCTGCCCCCTACCTGCTGCGCCTGCCCAACTTCTACGGTGAGCGGGGCCGGGGGACGAAGGGCCCGGGTGGGGACAGGGCCTGGTGTGGCTGGTGGGGTGCTGAGCCTCTCCCCCTGCCCCAGGCCTCCTGCCCGTGCACCTGGCCGTGAAGGCGAAGAGCCCGGCCTGCCTGGACCTGCTGGTCAGGAAGGGGGCAGACGTGAACGCCACGGAGATGCAGGGCGGGAGGACCCCGCTGCACCTGGCCGTGGAGATGGAGAACCTCAACATGGCCACACACCTGGTGAAGAAGGTAGGGGGCCGCCTCCTCGCTGCAGGTGGGCGCAGGGAGAGGGAAGCAGGGCCGGGGGGGCCATCCTCACGGCCTCGTGCCTTTCTCCATAGCTGGGAGCAGACGTCAACAGCCGGACCTTCGCTGGGAACACCCCCCTGCACCTGGCGGCTGGCCTGGGCTCCCCCACGCTCACCAAGCTGCTCCTCAAAGCAGGTACGGTGCCGACCCTCCCCTCCTGCCCGTGGGCGGTGGGAGCAGCCCCTGCCCTGTTCAGGGGGACTCAGCCACCCCTCGCCCACAGGGGCCGATGTGCTGAACGAGAACGACGAGCCCATCAGCCCCTCCTCGTCGGAGGCGAGCAGCGACACGGATGCTGACCCCGAGGAGCAGGAGGTGGGCATGGAGCTGGGGGAGCCGTCCCCAGCCACGCCGCCTGCCCCCAGCCCCCAGCCCGACCCTGAGCAGGAGCAGGAGGAGACAGGGCCCCGACCGCGCCGCTGCCACACGCCGCTGGACCTGACCCGCAGCCAGAAGGTGTGTGGGGGGCACAGCATGGGGTGGGGGCCGGCCCTCCACGTCCCAGGGAGCTGGGATGTGTTGTTTGGTGTTCGGGGTGATGCTCATGTCCCTGTGTCTGTGCCGCAGGTGCGGGACATCCTGCTGCAAGCCTCCCAGCCGGGCCCCGAGGCGGAGCTGCCCGCTGCCCCCCATGCAGGTGAGCAGCCCCTCTGCCCTGCAGGGCAGGACCAGGGCTGGCCGCGGGGACGGGCAGCGTGTGACAGAGCTGCGTGTCCCCACAGGGAACGTCCTGTCCCTGGACAACGACGCGCTGCAGGGCTTGGAGCAGCTGCTGAACCAGGACAGCAGCGGGTCCGACTGGATGGAGCTGGCCAAGCGGCTGGGGCTCTGCAGCCTGGTAGAGACCTACAAGGACACCCCCTCGCCCAGCGTCAGCCTGCTGCGCAGCTACGAGGTCAGTGCCTGGCCGGGGCGCCCCGTCCTCCTCCTGGCCCCACCACATCCCTCCCCACTCACTGGTTTCTCCCCACAGCTGGCCGGGGGCAGCCTGGGGGGGCTGCTGGAGGCGCTGGACTCCATGGGGCTGCGCAAGGCCGTCAGGATACTGCGCAAAACCGAGGCGCAGGAGAAGCTGCAGAGCACAGGTATGGGGGGTGCAGGGAGGGGGAGAGGGCCCCGCTGCTCCCCCGGCCTCTCCCCCCTGACCGCCCCGGGCTTGCCTTGCAGAGATCAAGGAGGATAGCGCCTACGGCAGCGAGTCGGTGGAGGAGGAGCAGGTGCCTGCCCTGGCCCTGAAGCCAGGGCCGGTGCCAGCCGGTGAGCTGCCCCACAGCCAGCAGCAGCAGGTGCACTGAGGGGCCGGGGGGGCCGTGCTGCCCCCCGCCCTGCCCACCCCATCCCACACAAGTGCCTTCTGGACTGGGAGCCCACGCCGCAGCCCCGGCTGCCTGGACGCTCGGGGGCGGGATGCAGCCTGCCCCGGCCCCTCTCTGCTCTTATTTAACAGTCCCTCCCTGGCCTGGTGAATAAAGGGACGCGGTTTCCATTAGCCTCAGCCAGCTGTGTCTCTGCCGCCAGGCGGCGAGGCAGGGCCCTGCCTGTGGCCCTGGGGCGGGCAGCCTGGCTGTGGGCCCCTCAGCAGCCCCTGGAGCCTCGGCTGTCCCCAGCGTCACCCCTGGGGGAAAAACCACAGCACACGCAAGAACTGAAGAGCAAGTTTTACTTCAGTAACCGACAGAAGAAGCTGTACAAAGGTTTTTCTCCCCCTCCCCGAGCCGCCTGGGGCAGGGGTGGATTTTTCTTTTTTTTTTTTTTTTCCTTTCTTTTTTTTTTTTTTTTTGCAATAGACTCAAAAGAGCAGAATAAAAAGTTTGACACATTCGCAAAGTCAGTGCTGAAAACAGCCGGGTCCCGTGTGGCCAGGAACAGCGTGTGTTTGCAGCCCCTACCCTCAGCCCTTCTGCTGGCCCTGGCTCTGGACCCCTCCGCTTGCACCCTCAGCACTCCTGCAGCCACACCTGAGCACCAGCACCCACTGCTGACCTGCGCCCTCCAGCCCTGCTCACCCTGCTGCCAGCCTGGGGAAGGACAGACCCCGCGGCTGAAGGATGGGCTGCAGCCACTGCTCCTCCTCCTCTAGCTCAGGACCTCACAGCTCTCCCCGCTCGTCAGACCAGCACTCAGTGCTGCAGCCTCCGAGGCCCCCACGATGCTTTGGAGCAGTGGCAGAGGAAGGAAAGCCCCTGTCCCTGATCCCACCGGCACAGTGCACCCCTCACACCGCAGCCAAGGGGCACAGTGAGACTGGGGCTGTGCCCGTGTTTGCCAAGCAGACAGTCGGTGGTGCCTGCGGGGCTGGCTCTCTCCAGGAAGGCTGCTGGTGCAGGACGGGTGAGGCCGGGCTGGCTGGGCACAGGCTGGGTGGCTCGCAGCAGCACGCATAGGAGCGACGCTGGGCTCGCTGCCCAGGGAGGCTCTGCGTCCCCCCCAAGGCCATGTAAAAACCTCTCTTCCCCCTGCCAAGAGTGCAGTGTCTACAGGAAATGGCTGGGTTTGTTTGTGTTTTTGTTTTTTTTTTTTTAAACAGTTCCAAAAAGCATCAAAATTAGCCCCCAAAAAACTCCCTGTTGGTCAGCTCGATCTGGTACTAAAAAGTGCAAAACTGTATCACAAAAACCGTTCAAAAGTTGTAAGAAAGCAGGAGGCGTGGGAGCAGCTGGGGCAGCAGGGAGGGAGCCCTGGCTCCCCCCAGCCCTCAGGGATGGGGCCAGGACCAGGGCTGGCACATGGGGCGTGTGGATGGCTCCTCTCTGCCCAGTCCCAGCTTTCCCAGACGGCACAGCGGAGCTGGAGGAAAGCAGCCGCTGGCTGCGCTGCGTTGGGTTCTCACACCACGGAATGTAGCCCAGTCGGCAGGTTTCAGTCCCGTCCCCTCCGTGAGGCAGGGGGCTGGAGGGGAGTCTGCAGCCAAGCGCAGAACAAGGAGGGGCAGGAATCAGTCTGATGGGGCAGCTCCCGCTGGCAGCGCCTGGGGCCGGTCCTGCCCCGCACCGCTCACCAGCCAAGGGGCCAGCGGGCTGGTGCTGGCGGCTGGGGAAGGCTGTCCCCACCCCAGCGCGTGCCCCAAGAGGATGGACTCATGCAGGGTCCCGGCGGGCACGTGGCGCCCACCCCAGTGCCAGGGGGCGGGATGGGAGCTGCAGCGCGGGCGGCTGGTGCCCCTGGCTTACGATTTCTGGGGGTGACCGGGGGGCTGGCGGCTGGCGCGCTCCGAGACGTTGCGCTTCACCTTGGTGCCCGTGCTGGAGGGCTCGGCGTTGAGCGAGGGGCTGGAGCGGGATTTTTTCAGGCCATCGTCCTCGCCGCCTGCTGCGTCGAAGAGCGTGGACTCGAAGGCCGCCAGGTCCTCGGAGCCAGCCTTCAGCTTGGCCCGCAGCAGCATGGCGTAGGTGCCGTAGCGGGATTTCTGGGGGCAAAGAGAGCAGGGGGGGTAGCAGGGCAGTGCCCTTCCAGCCGGCATCCTCCTCACGGCCCCTCCACCCCACCCTGGAGGTGTAATGCCCTCTTTCTTCCCTGGTGCTTCCCACCAGGGACCCGCAGTGAGCTGAACGCCCTGCGGCACGCCCCATCCAGCCCCCGGCCCTGGGAGCCCCTCACCTGTGGTGGGGAGCTGAGGGGGGCAGAGCATGGCAGCAGTACCAGGAGAAGCCAAGGCAGGTCAGCTGCACGGGCAGGACAGGGCCCCAGCAGCTGGTGAGGGCCAAGGGCCTGTGGTGGTGGCACAGGGGCCGTGGGTTCTCCCAGCTCACCTCAAACTCCAGGTACTCCTCCTTCTGCTTCAGCTCCTCGTACTCCTTGCCCTTCACCTTCTTCTCCGGCAGTGAGGAGCGGTGCTCCAGCAGCTCCGCTGACATGGCCTTGAACTTGGTCTCATGGCTCTTCACCTGCTCGTCCTGGGGACAGGTGACACGGCATCAGCACCCCGTTCCCCTCACCCCCTGGCTGCAGCCAGCTGGGGCCAGGGCTGGCGTGGCTTTTCCAAGTCCAGCCCGGGTCCCAGGTGCTGCCCCTGGCTTTCCAAACATGGCAGCCCAAAGCACAAGCCCTTTGGGGAAATCTCCTCCTGCAGCCAGCCCGCCGTGAGGCAGTCTTACAGCAGAATTTAATCCCCTCTAAAACTAGGCTGTGTTTTTTTTTTAATCCTTTCTGCTCTATGAATAACTGCAGCGGCACAAGCGAGAGCCAGCTAATCCCCCTGCCCGCTGTCCTGTCAAGGTCCTGGCCCCTCTCAGGGCAGGCAGACCGTGCTTGTCTCCACGCCGAGGGACCCACCTGGGACAGCCGGGTGCAGGAGCTGGGCAGCAGCGGGCGGCTGAACTTCTTCTGGGAGCCGATGGCGGCGGGGAAGGGGGGCGCGGAGAACATGGCAGCCACCACGTTGATGCGCGTGATCCACGAGTGCATCTGCTCGGGGTTCCTGGGGGGAAAGGCCAGCACAGGCCAGCTTGGCTCTGCTCGTCCTGCCAGAGGCCAAAGGGACCTGCCCCAGAGACGAGCCTGGTGGTCCCTGGCTCTACCCCGCTCCCTTCTAGAACGGGACGGGACATGGCCCTCAGCCCCATCCTGCCCGCCACAGGTGAGCCCCCGCTGCCCTGCGCGGGTGCTGGGGCACTCACTGTGCTTGGAAGAGGAAGACCCTCCAGTCGGCTGTCCTGAGGTAGAAGACATTGGGTCTCTTGCTGTAGTCAGACGCCCGCGTGGCGAGCGAGTGGTGGATGCTAATGGCATTCTTCAGCTCCTCTTCGGCCAGCGCCTTCCCCGGCTTGTACTCCTCCTGCAAGTCACAGGGCCCTTCAGAGCCAGCCGGAGGCTGCGCCCCCCTCAACCCAGAGGTAGTGGGGCTCGGAGGTCAGCCTACACCAGGCTGCTGCAGGGCTCTGCCTCCAGCTTGTGCCGCACCACTCAGGTACCCGGGCTTGGGTACAGGAGCCCAGCAGCTAGGCAGCATGTCAGCAGCCTCCTCGCCGCCCCCAGCCCCAGGTGACCCCGTACGCGGGCAGTCCCTCCGCTCCCTACCTTCTGCAGGTAGAGGATCATCCCCTTCAGGATGGCGTGGAAGGGCTTCCAGCCGCGCTTCCCTCGGGGCGCTGTGGGAGAAGAGAGCAGCCCAGGCCTCAGTCCTGGTGCTGGGCAGGGCGCTGCCAGCTCCCCCTGCCCCCAGCTCCCCCTGCCCCCAGCTCCCCCTGCCATGCCGCACGTCAGCCCACCCCGGGGACAGGCAGCACACGCCAGCACCGTCCCCGCACACCTGAGCCCGTGCCAGGCACGTGGCTGGCAGATGGAGCTGCTGGGGGAACACGGGGGGCTGCTGCTGCTGCCCCCCGGGGCTGGCACCTCGCTGCCCACACAGCCAGGGATGGGGGCAATGTGGTGCTGCCCACCAGGTAACGCTGGCCTGGGAGGGCGGCAGCGCCTGATCGGATCAAGGTGGCATTAGAAGGCCGGGGCTTAGGGAGGATTTTGCAGTGGGAACAGGGAACGTGCCTGGCAGTGCAGAACCTGTGGCACGAACCTTCTGCAGCACCATGGGACACCCTTCCCTGTCCCTCGGCATCCCATAGCAGGGCTTTGTCCTGCACGGAGCCCAACACATCCCCTCGCCCTCCCAGCTCTGTGGGAAGGGGGAAGCCTTCAGCCCCCCAGCCTGCAGGGTGAATTACACCCCTCACAGCCTGCTCCACGTGGTGCTGGGGCCGATGCTGGAGGCTGGTTTGAGGCTACCTGGAGATACAGGGTGCCTCTTGCCCCGCTCCCACTGTCAGGATTTCTGGAGCTGCCTGGTGCCCCTCGCCCCCTCGCAGACACCTACTTTTCTTGCAGTCAGGATCAGCGTGGATCTTGCGCACTAACAGTCCGTGCTTGTAGGTGGCGATGCTGGAGTCCTGCGAGAAGTCCAGGAAGGGGTTACTGCAGCTGCTGATGCGCTTGATGGACTTGGGTTTGGGGTCAGCCAGCTCCGAAAGGGACTTCCTCAGCTCCTCCTCATCTCTGCCAGGTACAGATTTGGTTGGGGAAGGGTTTGTTACCGTGCTGGGGACAGCAAACACTGAGCCTCCCGCTCACAGCAGACCAGGCTGAGCAGTTTTTCCACACCACTGGGGAGCATCCCACAGCCTGGCCAAGCCTCCGTGCCCCCACTAGGCTGGCAGCCACAGTGCTGCTGGGATGAGGCACGGGGGTGTCTGCTGCTGGGGGGTCCCTGCCTGCCCTCGGCAGTGTGGCCAGGTGGGCTAATGCTGGCCAGCCTGACAAGCCATAGGCCGTGGAGGAGCACTGCCCTGGGGCTCGGCACCTCTGCAGCCCACCTCGCTGGGGGGCAGGCCCTGCTCACAGCCTCCCTCCAGCCGATGCCCCCTCGCTCTTCGGGCAGGCTGCGTCGCTGCCGCTCCCCCCGCCCCGCACGGAGATGTGGGAGCCCGGAGCTGCGGCCTCCCCCCTCCCTCGTACCCGCTCACTGCTAATTAAACCCCTCAGCATCTGCCGGCGTCTCCATGGCAGCAGCCCGAGCGCATTGGCTGAGCGCTGGCGGTACCGCCGGGCTGATTAATCCCCGCAGCGCCCGCGCTGCCGCTCCTGCTGCTGGGGATGGCAGCTGTGGGCGAGGGTGCGGGCGCCGGGCACGGCCATGGGCTGCCCGCTCCGACCCCGAGCACCGCTGCCGAGGTGTGGGGCAACACCCGGCACGGCCACAGCCACGGGGAGCCGGCCTCAGGCAGCCCACCCCCAGCTAAAGGGTCCCCGTCGAGGTGCTGTGCTGGGGCAGAGGGCTGAGCGCCCAGCACCGCTCTCCGGGCACCCCCATCCCCGTCTCATGTGCCTGCTCCCCTCCTACAGCCCCACAGGAGCATCCACCCCGCCGATGGGGCCCCTGATGCTCTGGGGAGGGGGTGAGGAAGCCCCCCGGCAGCAGGGTGACCCCACAGTCGCCCAGCCCATGCCCCCTGTGGGATGCTCACATGGCCCACTGCAGCTTCTCGTTCTTGATGGAGCCGTACAGCGCCTGCGGAGAGAAGAGCGGGGTCAGTCGGACAGCAGGGCTCGGCTCAGGGGAGCTGCACAAAGCAGAGGGAGCACTGAAGGTTTCGGCACCCCCAGGCCCGTCTGTCCTGGCCGCAGCCCTTCTTTCTTGGCAGCAGTGTTGCTGACAGCCTGGCCCGTCTGCACACACCAGCTGGCTGGCAGCGTTTCAGGGTTACAGGTACCTTCTCCCGGGCACCTGCAGCCCCAGGCACGACTGGGGCACGGCGCTGGGGCACAGCACAGGCTGCCTCCCTTCCCTCCCCTCCTGTGCCTGCCCGTGACAATGGCACAGAGCTGCGTGAGTTTCACCTGACAGCTCCAAGCCCTCAGGAGAGCTGGCTCTCCCCGTGCCAAGGTGAACCAGTCTGTCCAGAGGGACAGCTCACAGGAGACACGGGCTGCAGGCGAGCTGGGACAGCAACACTGTGTCTGCCCCTGGGTTGGTGAGACACCAGCCTGCAGCAGGGCCCCAGGAGCACTCCTGCACCCAGCAGCTCGCAGCCTGCTCCCGGGCTGCCCCTCGGGATGGCTGCAGCCTGTCCTGCCTCCCAAACACCCCAAGCCTCCCCGCTGGCCCCAACCCTCGCAGGGTTCAGCGAGACAGGGCCCAGCGCCGTGTTTCAGCAGGGAAAAAAGCAAAGTCCATGTGCAGCGGGACAGCCTGGGGCCCCGTTCCCAAGCCTTTGTCCGGTCCGAGCTGGGCGCGAGCCACAGGCACTCAGCCTGGCTCCGCAGCACGGGAGGCTCGGGGGAGGCTTTCAGCAGCGCTCACACAGCGCTCCAGATCAAGGAGCAGGACGGGTCTGGAAGGCTTCATCCTCGGAGGCAAATAATCGAGTTTCGCACAGGCTGTTCAGGCAGCTGTCAACATCCATCTCCTGGCCAGAGACTGCCGGGGAGAGATCTTGCTGGTGGCTGATGAAGTACAACTGCAGCCTTGCAGGGACCCGCGAAACCCGGCCAGCAGGCAGGCCCAGGCAGTGTCTGGGGAGGACAAATCCATCATCCCCCGAGAGATGCAGTGGCCAGAACGGAAGAGGGACAAGGCTTGTTTCATGTGTCCTGCTCCAGGAAACGCTGGCTCAACACCAGCGTGTTTTTCAGAGGAGGAAAGGGAGCCCCCCAGCCGCAAATGGAAAACAGGGGTCAGCCTGGGAAGACAGGAGCCTCCTGGGGAGGGCACGGCCTCATTCCCCCATGGCAGGTTGTACCTGCACCCCATTTACACCACCCTGGCACCAGAGGAGCAAGAGGTAGGAGGGAGGAACCGGCTGGTGGCTCGGCCAGAGGAGCACAGGCTGCAAAGAGGCACAACGGAGGTGATCAGGAATGGCCACAGGAGGGAAGGGATCTCACTGACAGGGACGCAGCCAAGAGGTGCTGAGAAGAGAGGCCAAAAAAAGAGTGGAAAAACGGCACAGAGAAGTTGAGACTGGAAACCAGGAGCTGCAGAAAGGCTGCTGAGAAAACACTGCGAGGAGTCAGACGGGCACTAGCCTCGGCTGCCGGCAGGACGGGGAGGTCCCGCTCCGTGCCGGGGGGCTGCAGACCCCAGGACCAAGCTGTGCTGTAACACTGAGAGCTGCTGACAGAAGCTGCTCGTGGCGCAATTCTGAATGAAATGAAAACAACGTCTGCACAGTGCCAGGGAGCAGCCCAGCAGAGCGCAGCACCACAGAAACCTGGGCTCGGGGGCTGTCTGTGAACGCTTTGAAGGACGAACTGACTGACTTGTGGCTTCAGAAGGCTCCAACACCCCAGTACGAGCACCCAGAGCATTGCAGGAGCCTGCTGCGGGCAGGAGCTGCCACACAGCCTCACCTCAGGCACGGGGCCGCGGGCTGGCTCCTGCGCCTGGAGCAGGAGGAGAGAAACGGGAGGCTGGGGGGATGGAGAGGGCAATGCAAAGCCTCGCTCTGCGCTTAGATCCTGCCAAGGCTCTGCCTGGCTACCCGCCATCCCCAGCTGACACCGGTTTCGTGCCCTGTTGGAAACAAATCCGGTGGACTCAGCCCAGCTCCGAGCCGAGAAGATGCCCTGCAGCCACAAAGCCCGGCCCTGCTCTTCTGCTCCCGGGGCAGAACCGCTGCCTGCCCAGACTCCAGTGGTGCAAGGACCGCTTCTGGCAGGGCACAGCAGGCTCCTGAAGCCTAGCTCACATCAGCTGTGTCGGCAGAGATCACACTCACAGCTCGGCTCTGCAGGTCCCTCTCTCCAGGCTCTCTTTCCTCTGTGGGTTTATTCCCGAAGGTGCAAAAGGATGGCACCTCTCGGCACCTCTGAATTTGCAAGCACTGCCCAAGAGAAAGCATGGTGCTGCCAGCAGAGGACTGACCCCAAACAGAGGTGGCTTTTTTGCATGTTTTTCTTTTTTTTTTCCCCCCACCATCACAGGGTTATGAGCTCACTGCTGCAGCACGCACGGCAAGGCAGCCAGCCCTGCCCTAGACATGCGCAACACCAAGGAGACCTGGGGATATACTGTCCCAGCGGGATTTCTCACTGAATCAACATTTTTCTTCGGTGCCCCCTCTGAAAGGGGGCTGACAGGACGTCCCCAAATCCTGCTCTAGCCAATGTCTGCAGAGGGGTGGACAGGCTCCTGCAGCACCCTGCAGGCAGGGCACGGAGGAGCTGCACGGACAACATCTCCCTTCATCCCTCTGCCTCGGAGGGAGCCCAGAGGAGGGCACGGTCAGCGCTGGTTTGGGAGAAAGGCTGCCAGCAGCCCTGGACACAGCCCTGGCACAGATGGGACTGCACTGAGGGCTGTAGCCCAGCATGGCCATAACAGAGGAGTGTTAAGGCAGGAATTTTGGCAACAAGCAGAGGATTAACCCTTTCTGGGGTGCTTCCTTTAGGGATCGTAACTGTTTTGGACACATTACGGTGACAAACAGCCACAGCGTGCTTGTTGCTGCGCAGCACAGTGCTCGGCAGCCAGAGCTGCGAGATGCCCTGTGCAGGTCAAGATTCCTCCTCCCGCTGCCAGCCCTGCGAAAAGGCACAGCTCTGTGACATCTTGCACCACAGACTTCACAGCTACAACGTGCCCTCCCTGCAGACAGCCCCCCTCTCGCCGTGCCTGGCAGCATTGCAATATGAGAGCTCAATCGCTGGCTTTCCCCAACTTTTCCTTAGCAAAACATCTTTCTCTACACCCGGCCACGAAGCTTTGGCAGGCCCCCCAGGCAAGCAGAGACCCCTCAGATATGGGAACACGAACGGCACGGCCAGACCAGGGCTGTGTGGCAGAGGGAACAGCCCTGGGCTGTCCCCTCACTCACCTTCACACACACCCTGCTGCCTGTCCGGCACACACAGCCGTGCTGAGCAACACCCGGCCACCCCGTGCCCCTGCTCCCCTCACACAGGTGTCTGCGGAGGACCAAGCGCTGCCCCCAGCCCTCCTCCTGCACAGGGGGGCTCGGAGCAGGGACAGATGCGAGTGACTTGGGGACAGCGCCTTGTGCGTCACCCCCTGCCTCGGCGCGGGGAGCAGCCACCCACCCCTCCTGCCACCCCAGGCTGCCAAAGCCCTCCTCGCCCAGCCAGCCGCGACCCCAGCCGGCAGCCCCCGTGCTGCCGGTGTCCCCCAGCCCCGCGGAGCAGCTCGCTGCCAGCTGCCTGCCTCCTTCCATCCCAGTGCGTCACAGCTCGCCCCAGCCCGTGCTATGGCAGCATCACCGCCCCGTGTGCCCGCGGTGTCCCCAGGGCTGCTGCTGGCCAGGACGTGCCCAGGGCAGCCTGTTCTTGCCTCTCCCCACCCGGAGCCGATGCGCAGCAGCCCAACTCCCCCGGGACCGCTGCCAGCACCCAGCGGGCAGTACAACCCCCAGCTTTTCCTGCCGTCCCGGCGCTTACCGGCTTCTTCTTGCGGCGGCTCTGCAGGCGGCTGACCACCAGGTCCGTGTAGAGCACCGGCTTGAGGGTGCGGGAGCGCTGCGGCCAGCCGTAGCAGAAGGTCTCCACGCCGCGGTAGTTGCGGCCGTAGCGCACCGAGCACATGGAGCGGGACCGCATGCGCCCGGCGCTGCTGTTGATGCTGTTGACGCCGATCATCCTGCCCGGGGGGGGGCCGCCCTGCCCTGCCCTGCCCTGCCCTGCCCGGCCCGGCCCGGCCCCGCTCCCCGCCGCCCGCCGCCTGTTGAAGCCGGGCCGGGCCGGGCCGGGCTCGGCGGCTGCTGCCCGAGGGAGGCGGCGCCCCCGGCCCCGCAGCCAATGGCGGCGGCAGCGGGGCCCGGCCCGGCAGAGCCCGCGGGGCGGGGCCGCCCGCCTCAAGATGGAGGCGGCCCCCGGGGACAGGCACCGGCCCCGGCCTCGGGCAGGGGGGCGCCGAGGGCAGGGCGCTGGGTTTGTCCCTGAGGCTTCAAGGGTGAAGGGCGCAGGCACAGAAATAAAAAATCCCCCTGGGAGCGGGCTGAGCTCAGCGCTGCCGGGGTCTGGGCTCTGAGGTGGGAGCCGGGGTTGGCTTCCCACAGCTGCGCATCGCTGAGCCTGATGGCTGTGCCTCCCGGCTGGGGGCCCAGCCTACCTTCCTCCCCCAGGGGACCTGCCTGCGCTGGGATTTAATTCATTAACAGCTGTGAAATGCTGCAGGCTGCCGAGCTGGGAAGTAGCACGGATTCTGCTCGCTCCTGCGTCTTGCTGAGCAGCGCGGGGGAGGAATGGGGTCTGGCTTGTCCGTGCTGTGTGGCTGGAGGCCCAGCAGCAAAGCACGAGGTTAAGCTGAAGAATGAAGCAGATGTGGAAGACCTAAGGCTCTGCAAAGCGATCGGTCAGGTAAAGGTCGAATCCGTATCTGAAATGCAACACACAGCCAACAGAGTGCGGGAAACCCCAGGGGGCCTGGGCTAAAATCACACTTGGAGGAGAACAGCACAGCCTCAGGGTGAGCTAACCGTGGTATCACCAGCTCTAGTCCGTCCTGTTCGCATCCCTCCTTGCTGGCCAGACACTGGTATTCATTTGGCCTCAGGAGCGAAGGCCAAGCCTGCAGGTGTGGGCAGCCTCAGGCACAGCATTACGGGGGCTCTCATGTCCCCAGCATGTCCTCACCCCTACCCCGGGGTGAGGACACCCATGCCCGCAGGCTGGGCAGCCCTGCCTGCAGAGCACGGTGCCCCAGGGATGGGTTGGAGCAAGGGGAGGTGGTTCCCAGCAGCAGGTTTTGCCTTGGCTCCGGCAGCAGGGGCACAGCGAGGCACTGCCAGTGAGGGGGACGTGGTGCTCGGTTGTGAAAGCACAAGCTTTCGAGTGTTTTGGTTTCTTCTGCTGAAAACTGTGAGTGTTTACGTGCGTTCTATCGTAGCAGATAAAGTTCTTGTCTGACTCAAGCTGCCACCCGCTCCCAGGCATCGTGCTGCTTGTCTTGGGGCTTCCTGCAGTCAGAGACGAGGGGAGGGCCCCGTGGGGCTCCCTTCCTGATGCTGTCCCCACAGTCACAGGGAACGGTGGCCTTGTGTCCCCTGCAGCCGCCTAGGTCCTGTCCTGCTGTCCCCATCTCCCTGCTTTCCAGTCCCCCAGCTGTGTGTGGGGGTCGCCTCAAGCTCCCTGGCTCTGAAGTCTGTGGGTTAGCAACCTGTGCGATTCCCCCAGGCAGGCTTGGGAAGCCTCTGGGACCTTTCTTTGGCAGTGCTGGAGCTGCCCATGAGCCACCTCTGAGCTTTGGGAAGCTCCTCTGAAGCCTGCCAGCCCTTCCCCTCCCCTGCTGCCCTTAGGAAACGCGTGCGCTCCTGCAGAGCTAAAATTAGCCAGCCAGCTGTGTGGCACGCTTGCACAAGAGCTTCAGTCCCCAGGCAGGGGATCCAGGTCTGCCAAGGAGGCAACATCCTATATAGGCTAACGGGGCCAGCACAGGCCACCGTAGGGAGGAGGGAGGCTTCCCCATTTCTCTGCTGCCCAAGCCTGCAACAGGACCAAAGCACCAAGGAGCCGACAGAAGGGAGAGGGCGTCTTCTCCAGATAAACCTGGCAAAGGCTACCCAGGAGTGGCGCTGCCCCACTGCCCCTTCACACACCTTTCCTTGCCAGCCCCCTCCCCAGCGCTTCCCTGAAGCTCTGCTCTCCCTTGCATGGACGGGAGCCCCCCGAGGGCATCAGTGCCAGGGAGCGACAGAGGAGCTGCAGCCTGCCCCTCGCACAGCACCTCAGCGATGCCTTTTGCTCCCACTCCCCAGCACGGTGCTGATACAGAGGCGTCTGAAAAGCGGCTGTGGGAAGCACCGCAGCTGCAGAGGGAACAGGCCATTTTTAGCAGCTCAGCCCCCCCGCTGCAGGGTTGCAGGCAGAGCTGCGCGGGGACGTGCTCCTGCCTCAGCTGGCGCAGCGCGGCAGCCCCCAGCCCCAGCAGCACAGGTTCTGCCAGGCAGAGAGCTTGGCCCTGCCAGCACCAAGCCTGTAGGCTGCAGGAGCTGCTCACTGCCCCGTCTCACACTGGTTGAGACCCGACAAGACAATGCGGTGGCGCGTGCTTAAGTACTTTTGGGGTGGAAGTTTAGCACAGGTGCCGCAGCGCCTGCACTGCGGATACCCCACTGTGGGGTGCCGGGGGCTTCAGGAGGGGCCCACAGAGTTTGGATGCTCCTGGACAGCACAGTACCAGGGGGAACAGATGCTCCAGGTCCTGATTTTGGACATTTCTCTTCCATTTTGGGTGCTTAAAGTCTTTTCTGGAGCCGGGTTTAAAATTAGGGAAGAATTCTTTCTGAGTGACTGTTTTTAGTGGAGAAGCGTGGGCTGGGAGGGAGGACAGCCCTATTGAGAGCTGCTGGTAACCCCTTAATGATGGGGCGAACGGCACAGCCAGGAATAGACCCACAAAGGCTGAAAACAGAGCTCAGCTTTTCACCCCACGTTGCGTTTTTTTGTAAGCCACCTCCCACAGGAGTGGCTCCGGCACCCTGTGGGAACCCATTTCCCACATCCCGAGTGTTTTCCGACTGCAGCGCTTCACCGAAGGTTTCTGCCCTGCGGGACCCACGGGGCACAGCACTATTCCCAGGGCCCACGACGGAGCCGCCAGCTCAGCCAGCGGGAGCACCAGGCCCCGGTGAGCCCTCGCTCAGCTCGGAGCCAGTGCCGAAGCCATTTCCCCGGCTCGTGCATCAGCCTCAAGGTCAGGCCGTCCCCGCCGGCAGCGGAGCCGCGCTGCAGCCAGCAGGCGACTCCTCCCTTACGCACGCAGCAGCTGAGCCGTGCTGCTCCTGCCTTAGCCGGGAGGCTTGAGAAATGGCCACGAGGAACAAGAAGCCATCGGTGTGGGGGCACAAGGTGGGAACCCCCGCGGCCACATCTCAGCAACCCGCGGAGCCGGCATGGACCGCGGTGGCCAGAGGAGCCGGCTCGAGGCGGAGAGTCCCAGCGCTGCCTCCTTCCCTGCCTCCCTCGCCCAGGAAGGACTCAGACCCCGTTGGTGGCCAGGCACAGGCACTCCCCAATGCACTGCCCCCTTCCCACCTCCGACCAGCACCCCAGGGTGCTCCAGGACCATGGAGGTCATCGCCACCCCTTCCCCCGCCCGTCCAGAGGCACCTCACAGCTCCTGTGGCTTTGGCCAGAGCTGTCCCTGTAAATGGGAACCGGGTCATGCAGGGAGGTGACAGGGCTGCCCCAGCCACAAGTGCAGGGTACTCCCAGCTCTGGGGTTTCAGCCACTGGCCCACCCTCGCCACTGCTGTGCCTGGCCCACATCACCAGCAGTGGGGTTGGTGGCTGCACTCCCTGACCTCTGCAACGCAGGAGGAAAGCTGCAGGCCAAGGGAACAGCACTGATCCTGCCTATTCCAACAGCCTGACACAGGCATGAGGACGGACACCTTAATTGCATCCCACATGGCCATCTACACGATCTTACCCGAAGCTCTTGCCCTTGTTCTTGTGGCTTAGTTGGCCGGAGAGAGCAACCAAATTACCTTGAGCAGCTCCTTGGGGAAGTCAGTGCCTCCGTTGAGCCCCTCCAAGTTGCCAATGAAGTCGGAGCAGGACATTCTCTTCCCGATGTTCTGGGGGAGCCAGGGGAAGAGAAACGTGGGGTTCACCTCTGGGCCGGGGGGCTGGAGCTGGCTGGAGCAGGCTCCCACAGCCCAGGAACAGAAAACCCAGTCTGCTGCAGAGCGAGGGGCTGGCCAGGTCTCGGGGAGGTGTGGAAAGCCGCCTGCTGTGCTCAGACTCGGGGAGTGTTAGAAAGCTTCTTTTCTCTAAGCTCAGTGCCACCTGCTCCCAATATCAGCTGGGTTTGGAGTCGCGCTCCCAGCCTCTCTCCCTGTCTGCTTTCCTCTTCTCTCCTCCCTCCACACCCTCCAGCTCAGCCTGTCTCCCCCAAAGCCCCGTTATCTCCTCGTTCAGGCCTTCCCCGCTCTCCTCCCAGCCACCTTGGGGGTGGCTCAGCCCCTGCACCTCCTGCGCACGCGGCTCTGCCCTTGGCAAGTCCTTGCTCTTCCCCGGCCACCCACGGCTGGGGCAGCGGGGGCGGTAAGGGCAGGGGACAGCTGGGGCTAATGGCAGGGGGAACTTACGTGTCCGTGCAGATCTGTGTTGAGCAGCATCAGGGCACAGGTCAGGGTGTGGGCTCCGTCTGCAGCACAAGCACAGGGCAGGGATTAGAGCCCCTGGGAATGGACCGAGCCCGAAGCAGCCCTGAGCCCACTCCTCCCAGCCTGGGCACGTGGGGCACGCAGCATCAGCATGGTGCTGGCAGCACGCAGGCAAGTGGATAGGAGGCCACTGGGTTAAAGCTAGTCTGAAACCTGTGCGTTCAGACGCCCCTCCAGCCCTCAGCCCCGTCAGCCAGGCAGTGACGCTGCAGCTACCATTGCCCAGCTCCTGGCACAGGCACGGTGGGGATGGCACAGCCCTCTTCCAGCCAGCCAGCCAAAATCTCACCTGCCCACAGAGCCAAACCAGAGCAGATTCAGCACGTGAGCACACACAGGGGGAGCGTAAAGACGCGGCACACTGAGGTGATACGGTGCAGACTGGGTGCTCCTCTGTGCCGCACGGGGTTGTCTCACCTGGCCGTCCCCTGAGGTCTGAGAGCTGGGGTCTGTGTGCTGGGGAGGGCCTCCTCTCGCCTCCTGTGCTAATCTGCTCAAGGGCAGAATTAAGGATGCGTTGAGCCCTAATTATGCATCTTCCAACTAGAGCAGTATTTTTTTTTAAGTCTAAAGTGCCTGTCACTTGAGGGGAATGACAACATCTCCGTAACAGGGGCTGACTCCCGAGGCGTCAGTTCACGCTCTCAGACTGCTTCCTAGTTGCAGTCGGAGCACCTTCGCTGAGCTGACGAACACATGTGCTCTCCCGAGCGAACACATGCACACCCACACGCACACTCATACACACACAGACAGCCGCTTACCCTCCGAGGAGATGGCATTGGGATTGCACTCGTAATAGCGCTGGGAAAAATGAGCCAGCACTCGCTCCCGCTCCTGCGTCTCTCCCATCAAGGCCAGCTCCTTCAGAAAGGACCTGAAGAAGCAGCAGCAGCAGCGTTGGCCACAGGTGAAGCCCACCAGCAGCTCCTCTAACTCACCCTTTGCTTTCTGCCCCCTCCTGGAGACCTGGCGTGTGCCAGATGAAGCCCTGCCCTCACACAGCCTTCCCAGACAGCTGCAGGACCGCTTTGAAGCCCGCAGCACCTTATCCTGCCAGCACTGGGCCCTAAAAACTACCCTGGGGGACGCACTCAGGTGGCCACGACACATGCACACGTCCACACGCAGTCCGCCTGACCTGAGAGCCTGGTCCAGACTCATCCCCGTGAACACGAAGAACTTGAGGTACTCCCCTGCCACCATCCTGCTGAACTCGTTGCTGAAATGCAAAGGGGGGAGCGAGAGTGGGATCGACCAGACTGGGGGCATGGCAAAACGCAGAGGGTGGGGTGGGTTCCCGTGGGCTGGGAGACATGAAGGCAGGGCTGTGGGAAGCGTGCTGGGGACAGAGGCCTCCCGGAGTCCCAGGAAACTCACGGGGTTTACCCACAGATCCAGTGGGAACACTCATCGTGGAGAAGCTAGAGCTGGAAGAGCCCCCAGGAGGTGTCTCTGACACCTGCTGAAGGTGCCCAAGATGCAGTTGTGATGGGAAAGCACAAAACCTGGATGTGTCATAGGTGCTGAGACCTTTAGAGGGAACACCTGGTATGGACAAGCTGTCATGGGGGGAGGGCTTTGGGGCCCTGCCAGCTGTCCCTGCCAGCCCAGTGCCCCACGAGGGCAGCGGCTGTGGGAGCACCAGAGGTGCAGGTGGGAGGAATGATGCCTTTGCAGGACAGGCTGTTCCTTGCAAATACCCACACGTACTTCTTCCCCAGGTGGCGGGCCACATCTGCTTTTTTGAAGCCATCCAGGTTGTAGAGCCTCTTGGCCAGGCGTTTGGCAGCCTCCAGGTCAGCCTTGTGCCCGTTGGAGAGGGTGTCTGTGCTGCCCAGGGCCAGCTGCTCCATGCTGTCCATCTCCGAGTCCGAGTCAGAAACCAGCTGGCTCAGGGGGTGGTCGCTGCAATGGAAAGGGACACGCCGCGTTAGTCTGCCCACAGGTCCTCTGCTCCTCCAGCTTCTCAGCAAACACGTCCTCACCCTGCTTTGGAGGTCAGCCACTCTGCCGGGCTGCGTTATGCACACTACTGCTTAGAGGTGCTCACAGGTCGGGGCTGGGTGCTAAGGGAAGGCTGGAGACGTGGCTGGAAGAGAGACGAGGTGACAGGGTGCTTCTGGTGGCTGATGACGGGACCAAGTCACTCAAAGCCACGTCCAAAGTGGATGTGGGGAGACAGGACAACTGCTCCAGAGTCCCCACCCTGAGCCTGCGAGACGTCGTGTGTGGGCTCCGGCTCTGCCAAGCCCAGCTGCTGCCGAGACTTGGAGCAGAAACATGTGCACGCTGCATGCTGTACTCTACAGACACCGTCATTTTTTAACCTGAACAAACTCCTCGTGCTGCTCTCGAGTGCAGTTCCTACCCAAGAGAAGAAGACCATAATTCTTGCACTTGGCTTCTCTCACCCGGTAACTTCAGAGCACAGCAAAAACCGAGGAACAGAGCGCGAGGATGAAGGCAAACACCGCCGGCCCCGGCTCGCGGCACTGTGTGCTGCCTCCCCCGGGCTGCCCCGCAGCTCTCGCCCCGTCAGGCCTTACAAGGCTGTGCTTCCAGCACTCTCTTGGCTTCGCCTGCGGAGCTGTCTGACTCAGCGGCACACAAGCGATCCCAACAAAAAGTAAGTTGAAGCTAATCAACAACGAATGTTAAGCAACTCTGACCTCGCCCAAATTTTCTGGCAGGCCTCGCAATGTTCCAGTCTGATTTATTTTTAAAAGTCTCTAATTGACTTTTAAGAAGGCCTCCTCTCCTGAGCCAATTACCCAGGCTGGTCTCCCTGAGGCTCCACTTCTTCCACTAAGGACAAAGCTGCTCTTTGCTGCTCGGCGCTGGCCGACAGCTTTTGGATGGAGCTCGTCCCGTCCCGGGGGAGCCCCGCACAGCACGGACAGGCTGCCCTGTGCCTTGGGGGGCTCTCAACGTCCCCTGTGCAACTGGGAAGCCCAAAAGCACGCAACCATGGGCCAGACAGGTCCAGAGCTGCTTAGCTCTGGAGCCCTGCAAGTCCTGGGGGAGATGCACTTGACTGGGACTGCTGTGGAGCTTGGAAACACCAGGCAGTGACTGCGGTACGGCCCGGGTGGGTGGCCCCTAAGTGGCTGCAAGGTCCCTGGTGGCAAGGAGCTCACCAGCCCTGGGGCATGTCTCACCGAGCAGGAGGCTTCTGTACCCACAGCACACCCGGCTGGTTCGTGGTGCCTCCTGCAGCAAACCCGGAGCTCCAAGTTTCCTCCATGACCTCTCTTCCAGAGCTGTGCTCCTCACCTTCCTACCCGCTGCTGAGCACCCAGGCACAGGGCCATCTACAAACTCCTGTCCTTCAACAGCTATCTCACGGCAGGCTCCCAGCCTGTGGCTGTGACTCTTGCCTTGCTTCTTGAAACAGACACGCAGGGCTCACAGCCTGTTTGTTACAGCAGCTCTGCCAGCGGGGTCTGCCATCCCCTCCCTCACCGGGCCCCAGCTCTGACTTTGGGCTCTGTATCAGCAGAGCATACCCATACAGTCAGGATGAGGCACCATGCTGTACAAGAGACCCCAGCCTCCAGGCCACGCCAAGAAATGGGTTTTCACCCAACACTTTTCCTACGGCGAGAAGAGCAAGAGCCCGATCCTCAAGCAAACGGCGAACACAGCAAAGAGCACATGTCCACATCTGAGGCAACTGAGGTGATGCTAATTTTCTTGCCAATGACCTAATGTCTCGGGATTTTTTTAGTGTGCTTTCTGAAGTGACATTTCAGTTTGGCTTGAAGAAACACTGAGATAATATTTTTACATTAGATGTATTTCCAACCCAAGAACTGGCCTGCACTTAAGGAACAAAGATCAAATTTGGTATTGTACGAGCATCTCCAGCGTGCCTGAAATGAGTCATCCCGGAGCGGCGCGGAGCTGGCTCGTCCCCGCCACGCTGCCCGCGGTGGCACGGCCACGGCCACCCCCACGGCGCCACTCCCCACGGCGGGCGCCAGCCTGGTGTGACCCAGCCAGATGGCAGAGACCCCACATCTGCCACACTTGGAGGTGTTTGCCAGGAGGTCCGGACCCCCAGGGAAGCAGCAAGGTGCTTCTGCAGACACTCTCTGATGACAAGGATCCCTCCCCAGGGCCAGGCAGTCCTTCTGCGGGGTCCACGCACTCCGTTTCATGGCCCCAAATACTCCTTCCCTTGGCTAAAGCATTTCTTCTCTGACCCCCAAATATTCCAGCTCCAGACCCCAATTACTCTTTTTCTAGTCACACCTTTTCTTGTCCCAAAGACTTCTTTGCCTTGGCAACAGGCACGCTTCTCTGAGCCCAAATCCTCCTTCCCAGGGCCACATCCTCCCTCCCTGGCTTCAGATCCTCTTCCTCTGGGCTCAACACTTGCTTCTCAAGGCCAAACGCCCACCCCCTGGACCCGGATGCTCTGTGTCTCGCCCTGATATTCATCCTCTGGCTGGCAGCCCGGAGGCCAGCAGGAGACCAGCACCTTCCTGCGCTGCAATGCAGCGTGCCACTGCAGGAGCCCCGCTGTCCTCTCCACGAGGCTCACCCAGCACCATGCTCTCCCCACAGCCTCCAGGAGCTTCTCTCCCCGCCGTGGGGCAGCACCAGGCCGTTAGCTCAGCACAGACTGCCCGAGGGGCTGCCCTCCAGCTCCTCGCTGCCAGCAGGGATGTATCTGCACGGCGGGACCCCCCTCACCCATGTCTGCTCCCCAGGACCAGATGTCCCTGGGGACAGGCTCAGACAAGCGGACATTGGTATCAGCCTGTGGTGCTCTGCTGAGCTCCCAGGCTATCCAGGTCCTTGCTGGCATGTTTCCACATGAGACACCTGCTGCAGGAAATTCAGAAATGCCTACTGCGAGCCACTTGTTCCCCAAAACAGGCCATGGGGGGCTCGGTTTGCTTTCTGCACCACGAAGGGACAGGGCAGGGAGCCCGGTCTGAGTCGGCGAGGGCCACGTGCGTGGGGCAGGCCAGCACCCTGCCCTCAATTCCCACTGCCCCACACGCATGGCTAGGAGCCCGGCGCCTCTGCCAAGCAATCCCAGCCTGCCTAATATCGCTGCTAAGAATGTACCAGACCGGATCCTTGGCTGAGCTAAATAAATGCAGCTCCCTCCATCGGTCTCAGCGGAGCGACTTTGATTTATGATAGCCGAGATCTGGGCTGGTTCATTCCTCGCAGAATTGGAGTTAGGGCTGGGAGGACACTTGAAGGTCAGCCAGGCCAGCCTCCAACCACAGGCGGGGCCGGTCCCGCGGTCCCCAGCCCCGCGGCCGTGTCCAGCCTGCTCCTCAAATCACCCGCAGCGGCCCCCGCCAGCATCACAGCCACCGAGCCAGGTAAGAGCCAACTCGGGCAGCCGTGCCCCTCCTCGCTGCTGTTTCCCTGGAGAGCACACAGCAGAGCTGCTCTGCCAGAGCCGCCCCTGCAGCACGGCCCTCCCCCGAGATGCCTGCCCGTGCTCGCTCCCCCCGTCCCGGTGCCACCCGCAGCCCTGGCAGGGGCTCGGTCCTCCCTCCAGACACTTGCTGGGGCGAGCAGGCTCCCGGGGCCTTAACATGCGGTTACTCACCAGCCGGGCGGGGGGGCGGCTTCTCCTTCACGGCCCCAGATGCCATGGTGCTAACCCGGGGAAGCCGGGACCTCTCGGACCTTTGGGCAAAGTCCAGCCAGCGGGGCGTGAGCGAGCGGGGCCGCAGCAGCAGCACCAGCAGCAGCAGCACCAGCAGCAGCAGCAGCACCAGGAGCAGCACCAGCAGCACCAGGAGCAGCACCAGCAGCAGCAGCAGCAGCGGCTGCAGCAGCAGCGATCACGGCCCGGCGCTGGGGGCCGCGTCCCCCCGGCTCCTGTCCCCCCTCCGGCCGCCCCCGGGGCCGCCGCCGCCCATTGCCCCCCGCAGCTGCCCCCGGCCGCGCCGCCCCGTCCCGCAGCGCCGCCCCGGGGCCGCGGGCACCCCGCCGCCGCCGGCCCCTCGCCGCCCCGCCGCTCGCTGCCCTCCCCCTCCCTTTCTCCCTTCCCTTCTTCCCTTCCCCTGCACCGCCGGCCATGCCGCGCCGCCGCCCCTCCCCGCCCCTCCCGCCCAGCCTCACCGCGCCCTGCCCGCCGCCGGGACCCGCTGCGGGGCCCCCCCCGCTGCCACCGCCCCCGCTGCTGCTGCTGCTGCACGCACGTGTGCGGCATGTGCACGCCCGGCGCGACGGACACCGCCGGGATCGGGCCCCGGGAGGTGACACCCGGCTGTGATGCCCCAAGTGTGCCACCTGGCAGTGACACCCTAAACGTGCCACCCTAAATGTGTCACCCCAACTGTGCCACCCCAATTGCTGTCCCTGCCTAGAAACAGCCGGCGGGACCCGAGCCACGCAAAGCCACCTGGACACTGGTGAACGTGGGTACCACAGGGGATTTTTCCCCTTTTTTGGGGGTAAAGTCCCCCACGCACTTCTGTGCCCCATCTCCTGCAGTGCCAGGCTCAAGGCCACGCTGGCAGAGAGGCCCCAGGCTCCAGCCCCGCTGTGCTCTCGCCCCTGCCCTTCCCCACGCCATCCCCTGCCCTTCTTCTTCTTTCTGTCCTCCCCTCGCCCTGCAGCGCAGCCCGCATAATCCCCGCTGGGCATGGCACTCAGGGCACTCGGGTTCTCCCTCACCAGTTTGCCCAGTGACAACTGGGAGCCCCGCTGCTGCTCGGGTCACTCGAGAGCAGCTGGCAGACCTGGGCTGGCCTGTGCCAGAGGGAAGGGGGGCACCAGCTCACCGATGGCTGCAGCAACAAAAGGCACCTTATAAAGAAACACAGCAGCGCTTATTGGCACGGCCCCGCGCTCCCGCACACGCCAGCAGCTGGGATCTGGCACACAGGCGGCTTCGGGCCGGCACAGCGGAGGCTGGGGAGGCTGCCAGCCCTGCAGCTCCCGTCCTCCCACACCGCCACGTCCCCAGGGCTGGGCTCTCCCTCCAGCCAGGCTCCCCGGGGGCACGCTGCCAGCTGCCACTGGGGAGTCTGCGGGCTCCTCCTGCCTGCCCTGCTTTCCGTCCCACCCCAGGCCATGTCCCCGATTCGGGTCCCCGTGGAGCCTGCCTCTCGCGGGGTGGCACGGGCAGCAATTAACATCCTCTCTCCCCAGCTCTCGGCGATAAACGCTCCTCGGGGTGGTCCAGGATGGGGAGATGAGCAGATGCACCCCCGGGGACACCGTTTGCCTGTGCATGTCCCTCTGGGGCGATGCTCTGCAATCTGCAGTGCCTGCCCCAGGGCTGCCCTGGGACTCGGATCTGTAATTGCGAAATTCTGGCTGCTGCCGCAGGAGCAGCCTTCCCTCTGCCCCAGCTCCCACACCACCCCCTCGCCAGCACCACCAGCCCCGGTGGGACCCTGTGTCCCCACACAGCACCCTGCCTCCTGCTCATGGCCCCATGCACACACTGGGTCACTGCCCTGGGGACAGCAGCCCCTGCCCAGTGACAGCTGGAGACCTGCACACCTCCTCCTCCTGCCCAAGGGGGACAATTGCTCCAGAGCGAGGGCCGGGCACTTGTGGAGTCTCTGCCCCACACTGGAGGTGTCAGTGCGGGGTGTCCCTGTGCAGCAGCTGGGGAGGTCCCATGTCGGGTGGCCAGGGTGTCCCTGTCCGGGGTATGGCACTACGGGGGGGCTGCAGCATCCCACTGTGGGGTTCCCTGCTGTGGGGCAATCCTATAGCAGAGTATTTCCCATTGCGAAGTGCCATGTAATGGGGAACAGGCTCCTAGCAGCAGAGCACAGGACGGCCTGTGAGGGACATGCCGGGCTCTCCCTGAGCTCAGGGACACATGCCCACCTCTGCTCCTCACTCAGCTCCCAGCTGGAGGTCTCGCCCTCCTGCCTGCCTCCAGCCAAGGCCACCAGAGGAGGCAGAGGCACACCAGTGCTCAGGGAGGGCAAGCTGTGTTTTCATTCGGGAAAACTTCCTTCTTGCAAGGTCAAGATAAAAGCATGGACTGAGGATATCGTGTGCTGAGGGACGCCAGAGCCTTGGTCTGAGCCTGGAGGCTCCATGAGCCAAGGCTGTCTGGCCAGGACAGGGAGCTCCGCGGCTCTGTGGGGTGCAGGGGGCACCCACGGCCTGGCCACGGGTTGTTGCTACCAGGCTCTGTGGATGGTAAGCGAGGCACTGTCCCCGCAGTGTCACTGGGGCTCTCCACTTTGCTCCTTTGTGCCTTGGCAGAGCAGCAGGAAGCAGATTCCTCCTCCAGAAAGCAGTGATCCACGGCTGGATGCTGCCACCCTCTGCTGCTCGGTGCCTCTTGGACATCGCCAGTTTTACTGCACAGATCTCGCCCGGCCTCTGCACCACCACATCGCTGCCCTCAGTGTCCCAAACAGAGGGAAGGCCTCGCCAGCACCTCTCCCCCAAAAATGTCCTCGGGGTGACCCAGGGACCACAAAGCAGACACGATATCCCACCCTCCTCTCCTGACTGCAGGCTCTGGAGGCGACACAAAGCTCAGACCTACAGCTCCCAACAAGGCTGGGGAAGATGAAACACGGGATGTGCTCCCACCTCCATGCCTGCCACAACAGGACGATGCCTCCTGGCCAGACCAGCCACCTCTCAGGCCAGCAGCACAGCCCAGCCCTCACCCTTCCCTCTCCCCAGCAGCAGAGGTTGGGCTCGGGCTGCCAACACGCAGCACAGGGTTGGACTCCACAGCGAGCCTTGGCGGCCCAGGTGGGCAGCAAGCAGCTTTGGCCACTCACCTCATGTTGGAGGCCAAGGGAGTACCAAAGCTGTCCTCTGAGCAGCAAGGGCTGCGCCGGATGCCTTTCCTCTGCCTGCCTCGCTCCTCCTCCCTCTCAGTCCAGGGGGCATCTGTGGCCGAGCTGGTCCCAGAGTCTGGCTCCAAGTGAGCCAGAGGAGCAAAGTTCTCCTCGATCAGCTTGGCGCTGTCTCGGATCTGTCCCTGTACTTCTGGGGTGAGGGTTGGGAGGTCAAAAGTGAAAAAGGTCCCATGGGTGCGGGCTGGGGAGGAGAGGATGTCAATGGAGTCCAGGCTGGTGTAAGACGTGCCTTTGGCTCGATGGGACTCCATGATGCTCTCAAAATGCTTGCTGAAAGAGTCCATGCCATCCTTGGAGAGGCTGTGCCCTAGTAGGAAAGGCACTGGAGACTTGAGCATACCCTGCGTGTCTCGATCCATGATCCTAGAGGGAAAGAAAGGGAGAAGAACTGGTCACTGAGGAGCAAGGGATCAGAGCCCTGAAACAAAAGCCCATGCACTGCTCCGGAAGGAAACTGGGAGGGCAGAAGTCTCCTCTGAACAGCTGCAGGACGCCAGACCTCCGAGGAGAAGCCTTGCCTGCCCAAGACATGATGGGAAGAGGGACTGCCTGGCCTCCCTCCAGACATATGCTTCTCCTTTAATGAGCTACAGACTTTTGTTCCTTTCGTGGCTCATCCTCCTAAGAAGCTTATGAGAGGGCTACTGCTCCCAGCCACTCGCCTCGAGCTTAGATCCAATAAACGGCTCAAGCACCAAACCAGGATGTGCTTCAGCTCCACTTCTAACCAAATCTGCAAGTGCTTGAATTTTCCACGAGCCTTCAGAGCTCCACGGCGCTCCCGAAGCCACCGAGGGCAGCACAACACCTTCGTCCACGTACGCGACACCACGGGCACCGAGCAGAGCCTGCCTGCAGGTCTGCACAGGCAGCAGCTCCCCACACAGGTTTTGAAGAAGGAGGGAAAAACAGGACGGCTTGGTGCTCAGAGCACCTGCACCCAGCCCAGCTTACTTCCATGGGGACTGCTCCAGCCTCTGGGCTATGCCTCTCCTACAAAGACGATCCACTGTGAAAATAACACAGGATGACTCCAGAGAGAATAAGATACCCTATCCTGACAGCAAGGGCAAAACCCCAGGTGCTGCTCCCTGCCAAGGCACCCAAACCCATCTCTCCTGGCCCTGGAGAATCATCTGGCCACGTACCAGCCCTGCAGGAAGGCTCAGCTCGGCTCCAGCATGGGTCTGGGCCCAGCCCAGCACAGGAGCTGCTAAATCTCCAACCCCTGGGACTTTTCTTCGGTCAGTGAGGTAAGTTGCAACCTGCCCATCGGTCCGAGCATGTGGCCGTAGGGATACTTCCAACACCGAGAACAGCAGTGCTTCAGTCATACAGGCATAAACACAGCCCTAAAAGCCTGTTTTACTCAGAAGCTGCTATCGCTTTATTAAAGTACCAGAAAAGCACTTGTTATGCCACTCTCTTTCCTGATTAAAAGCAAAGAACTGATCCAGCTTGTCATAACATTTGTTATGAACAAACAGCCTCATACAGAAGGCTCAGAAAATGCATTGCTGTTTGAAGCACCAAGTGGTTTTCTCATTCATTAGCTTTCATACGCCGCTCAGAAATCTCACCCTGATTATTCAGCAGGCCACGAGCTGCCAGCTTCACTGCACCAGATGCAGGTGGCCTCAAAGGGAGCCCAGCGAAGTGAGCAGTGGGAAGGAAAGGCAGGATGAAGGCTGCTCTTGTCGATCCAAGAGCATTTCCCCAGCTGCACAGCACTGTACCGCGTCCTTACCAGTCCTGCACGAGCCCCAGGAGCCGCCTCAGAGGGGACTTTCTGATGAGGACACGGGAGATGAGACCTCTCAGCATTTGCAAGTGTGAATGTGCGCTCCCTGTCCTTACCATTCTGCACCGTGCTGCTGAGCTGAGCTAATGCTGCTGACTTCATTTTGCGTCTTGCATCCATAAGGAGGGCCATGGGCTGCACAGGGAAGGACAGCAGCCGCAGACAGAAAGGACCTTGTTCCAGGGGAGGGCAAGGGAATCGGGCTTATTTTTGTCATCAAGCTTACTGCTGCCAAAACACTGAGAAAACATAGCTGGTTCTGTGCACACCATCTGAGCTCCAGGAGCGACCTCCCCACCCCAAAACAGCAAGCCAGCTGTGAGCAAAGCCATTCAGACACAGCCTGCCCCGTGCTGCCCAACAATGCCTGGCTCTGCTCCTGGCTGCTCGCAGGCAGGGGCGGTGCAGGGGGCACAGCCCCACGGCCAGGCTGGGGCAGCACGAGAGGAGGAGATGCTGAGGGTGCATTCAAGCACCTGCACAGCAGCAGCAGGCAGCACAAAAACGTGTGTCTGTCTTCGAGCTGGCGCGGGACACACGCTGATCCTCTCTTGGAGGTGGGCCAGGTGGGTGAGCAGGGGACACGCGTCCCCTCCGGGAAGGCTCCCCTGGCAGCAGGCCCAAGGGCTGTCCTGGGCAAGGCTGCTCCGCTTCCAGGGAGGAAAGGTGCTTCTGCCTCCAGCCAGCCCTGTACGCTCCAGGGACTGGGGCACCGTGCTGCAAAGCCTCCTCTGGCTCCTCGGCCAAGGCGTTGGCACTGCTGGCCATGCCAGGCCCTGCCACCACCTCACTGACCTGCCAGGGATGCTCGGGGAGGGGGGAGATGAGCCTGCCCTTGCTGACAGGTCTCAGCTCCCTGCCTCTAATGGGAATAAAGACAGTAAAGGCTTAGGCTGGTCATTAGATGTAGATCTGGCTCTAAATATACTCAGGGAGAGGATTTGCTGGAAGAAGACACTGTTTCTTCTGTCACTTTCCATGTCTTATTTGATTCTGTATTGAATTTTTCAGCCTGATGTCCTGCCAGCTGTTAGCACGTCTCTTATTTTGGGAGGGCAGATCACACAGAAGGTGCCCTTTGGCCAGAATTTAAAGGGCAACACGACAGTGCCCAGCCAATCCCCCCTTGCAGAGGGTGCTAAACCCCTAAGGCTAGGTTTCCAAAGGGATTTATATCTGCAAATCAGCGTCCGATGGTGCTTCAGCAATTTTGCAGGGCTGGTCCTTCCCGGCTACCAACAAGGTGCTCTGCAGAGAAACTGCCAGGGCAGAAGCTGCTGGTTTGCAACAGCTCTTGCAGGGCAGGGTGGCGCTGGCTCCTGGGACACAGGGGGGTAAGGGGGATATTTAATCGCCCCAGCATCACCCCTCCTGCAAGCAGGCGAAGCAGAAAGCTTGGAGTAGCAAACATCAATAGCAGTGACTGGTAAACAGGAGGGAGGGCTGCAGCTGCAGAGCTCGGAAGCAGCGTGTAAGCAAAAACCCAGGGCTGTAATGCAGGGACCGAACAAGCTTGCGGTTTTAGGCAGGCGATTTTCAGCATGCTGCCCGCTGGGTCTGCACCTCGCTGGGGAGCAGGCAGGGGTCTGCACACCAAAAAAAAGCCGAAAGCCATGGGTCTGCAGAGCAGCCGCATAAAATGGGCACACCACAACTACATACTTATACCGGGAGCAGCGTGTTTCGGGGCTGCAGTGCGTTTCAGTACACATCCGACCTCTCCAGCACTGCCTGGCGAGCTGCGGTAAGGTGTCTCAGAGGACAAAAAGCAGGTCTAGGCTCACAGCCCACAGGAATTGTAATGGCCTAGTACAGCTTTGGAAATAGATTACCATCACGTAAGGTAATGGTTACAGCAACTTGAAGAACTTGCTCGGAGTGATAACAATATAACTTTACAGCTTTGCAAATCTTCTGTGACAATTCATTTGGAAAAAAAATGCATTTCCTTCTTGGGAAAAACAGCAGGAGCCCAGCTCCCCTCTGCAACCTGCACCTTCCCTTCCACTTCAGCCCAGCTCCTCACGCTTCTCCCTCCCAGAGCAGGGGCACCACGGAGAGTTATTTTTTCTATCATCTCTTCCCACCACCAACACCAAACCTCCCTCTTCCTTTTCTTCCACCCCCGTGCATCCTGCCCGCCTTCGGCACAGTGTGGCTGTGCACGCTGCCAGGCACCCCCCTGTCCTGGCACGCGGGGACTGCCTGGCTCTGTTTCCCCAGCGAGGCCTTGCTGCCATGTGTGGAGCATTTTCTGATGAAGCTGAGCCCCCCTCAACCCACCCATCACTGTCCTGGTACACGACCTTTTGCCACACAAGTGAGAAACGACACCGTGCAGTGGTGTGGAAAGGCTCTCTCCAGCCCAAAGAGCTCCCCTGGCACTGTCACCCGAGTGCCCTGGCTCGGATGGGTGAACGGAGCTCAGGGCTTGTCTCCACGGGAGCAGGTCCTGAGGTCTGTGCCCTGCACCAGACACCAGCACCGCCACAGACACCAGCACTGCCACACTCCTTCATGGGGCAGTGAGGGACCCTCAGCCCTGTGGGGTGCCCCAGCAACCCCCCGACCCCACGCACAGTTGCCAAGAGTTTTGGCTTGGGCCCTCGTTTGGCAGAGCCCATTTTGTCATGCACTTGGGATACCGAGAAGGGCGAGGGTAGCTTTCTGCCCTCAGACGCTGAGCCTCACCTTTCCCTGTTCTCCTTCCTCATGGCCTCAAACACCTCATCGTCCTCCTCCACGTCTCCGCCACGCAGCCCGCCCTTCGTGCGCTTGGCGCTGTGCTCGGGGAGCCCCTCGGGCGTGCTGTTCCTCCGTCCTGGCGTCCCCACGAAGCTGGGGTTGCTCTCGCTGTCCTTTTGGCTCTCGATAGCCGAATCCACCTCATCCTTCTCGGCCAGGATATCGTCGATGTTGGTTTCACGATAGCACCGCAGCGGCACGGTGTCCAGGTCTGTCTCGGAGTACTTCACCGTCCTCCTGATGATGCCCGTCTCGCAGGAGCCGTGCTCCTTGCCGCCCGGCGGGGACACCTCGATCTCCACCTCCACGTGGCTCAGGCCGTGCTCGGGCACCGACTTCTGCGGCTCCGTGGGCAGCAGGCAGCCGGGCTTCGGGGAGGGCTCAGCGAGGAGGGCCGAGGAGCCTGGAAGAGAGCCCAGAGCCCCCGTTCGACCCCAAGTCCCAGTGGATCAGGGCCCTGTGCTCCCCACAGACCAGCTGGTAGCCACAGGTCCCTGCCCGACACCTTACCTGCCTTCGGGGCCTCCACTGAGCCATAGAAGAACTCCCACTTGGCCCTGGCGATGCGCTGGGCATGGGCTGAGCTCTGCCGGGGGCACGGCCAGGCGCTGCCCTGCGGGGGGACACGGCGGTCAGCGGCCAGCAGGGCTGGGACAGGACATCTCAGCCCACTGTGGGGTCACAGGCACCTACCTGTGGCCGGGGGCTGGTGGGGACATCCCCCGGAGGGGCCTGCAGCCCATTGGTGAGGGAGCTGAAGAGGCAGCTGGTGGCGAGGGTGCCAGCATCCCTCCCAGCCCCGCGGGCACGCGTCTCCCCCGGGGACCTGCTGCCGGCCAGGAGCGGGTCGGACACGGAGGCCTCCAGCTTCAGCTTGCGCAGCAGCCGCTCCTGGGGCTGGGGCTGGGGCTGGGGCTGGCCGGGGGGCACGCACCAGCCCTCGCCGTGCTCCACAGCACAGGGCCCGTTCTCCCGGGGGGCCGGGGGGCCGCCGAGGGGCCGCACGCTGGCCTTCTCAATGAAGCGGAAGGTGACGACGGAGCTGCGTCCCTCGGGGGCCACCAGCGGGCTGCGGCTGCCGGGCGAGGCGAGCCCCGCCACGTGCTGGCCCCTCCGTGGGGTGCAGGGGGCTGTCAGGCGCCCCCCGCCCGGGCAGCCACCGTTGCCGAAGGGCCCCGTCTCCGTCGGCTTGCGGGCCAGGGAGCCCGTGCTGTTGTAGAGGCCGAGGGGGCTGCGGCGGGCGTCAGGGGCCAGGCCCTTGCGCAGGAGGTGGAGGCGGCCGGCATTGAGGTTGGGGGTGAGGCAGCGCGGGGGGCTGCGGTGGTCCAGTTCGGGGCTGGCGGCGGCTGGAGGCCAGGGGTGGTGGTCCCCGGGGTGGGAGAAGGGTGGGGGCGAGGCAGAGCAGCCCTCAGCCGTGGGGAGGTGGACGAGGCCCCCGGCCTGCGCCATGCTGATGGGGAGGGGAATGCAGGCGTCAGGTCCGGAGCTGGGCAGGGCGAAGCATCCTCAGGCAGCCCTAAAGGACACGGAGAGGTGGTGAGAGGAGGGGGCGCGGGGTGGGGAGGTGCAGACAGGGGGATGCTGCTCAGAGGTGGGCATCGGGTGGAGGTTGGCCCAAGCGCCTGCAGACAGGTGGCCTGAGAGGAGCCCCGACTGCCCCGCACCCAGACTGATGCAAGGGCACGACTGAGGGCACCGGGGTGGCTCTGAAACCCCCAGAGGGACTTCACCAAGTGGGGGCCGGGAATGCCAGGAGAAGTGACAGGTCCTCAGGAACAGGAGGCTGGTGTGGGGACAAACGGGTCTGCGGTGTGATCAGCCTCCGCACGGCCACAGGGGGCCAGGGCAATGGAGAGGACATACAAAGGGCGGGTGCCCTGTCCTCATGGCAGCTCAGCTCAGAAAGAGCTCCAGGTGAGACAACCCTGCCCGAGCTCCCTCCTGCAGCAGGAAGCATGAGGTGTTCGCAGGCAGACAGTGCCCATCACACCAGCCCCACCACGGGGACACCAGCAGCTCCTCGCCCAGGCTCTGGGCACACCAGGGGCTTGCTTCCTTCCCTGGGTCCCCTGGATGCTCAGGCGCTGCCCCTGTAGACCAGCACCACCCAGACAGGGTGGGAGAGCATGCTGCTGAATACTTTTACTGCCCGTAGGCACCTAAAATCACCTCAACAAGGGGGAATACCCTGGATCACGGAGACATCCCCAGATTACACTCACTGAAGGAGTTTGACACCATCAGCACGAGCAAGAAGCCTGTCTCTTTGGAGGTCAACTTGTGTTGTAAAGTATGTCACCCCGTCACATGCTGCAGCCGCGATCCGTGGCGCAGACAGAGCTGTCAACACCAGCAGATCCAAAAAGCAGTGGGTGAGACAGTCCTGCCCCGGGGGGGCCAAGCGCGCCTGTGCCAGCAACACGACCCCGGCTCGCCTGTCCCTGCCTCGGGACTGCTCCCCTGCTGGGGATCCCTGTCACCCCAGCGTGCCGAGGCACTGCAGGGGAAGGTAGGTGCCAACACCCTCAGTGCTGCCTGCACTGGTCCTTCTCACAGGGCAGCTAACACGTGGACTCAGCTTTCCCCAGGCTCCTCTGAACTCCTGGTGCACAGCAAAGGTTCTGCCTTGGCGACTTTTGGCTTCCCTGCATGCAGAGGTGCTTGTTCCCGCGCTTGGATCTCGCCACTTGAAAGCAAGAAACCAGACGCTAGTTGCAAATGGAGGAAAGCATGATTTCTTCTCCCCATTTCTCAGTGCAAACCAGATAGGATTAAACTGAAGGGCATAGGGCTGGATTTTCAGTGGTGTTTAGGCTCGAGGGATGCAGAGACATAACTCTTAATAAAACAGCCCAAATCACCCACGTGGGGCGGGCGCCTCTCTATCTGCACTACTACACTTCTGAAAAATTTGGCTCCTACAGAGCAGCAGCAGTCTGCAATTCACTCGCTGCAGAAAATATTCTCTGTTTAAGATGTCAGTTGCTGTTTTTACAATCTTTTCCCCTGTTATGGTTATATTCACATTCAAGGTTGCTTAACTGATAAATAACAAAAATGCTGGGTTTATATATTTCAGATGAAATTCCACTTTTTATCTAAATGTGGACTGACACACATGCCAAGGGAAAAAGTTATCAGCAGAAAATAGCCGGCATCCACTGTAACATAACAAATCTATAAAAAACAGCCTATCTCCATGTACACGAGCTATTGCTAAAATAAATGGGATGAGCACAGCGTGTCCTCCTGGTTATCGAGGGAGGATCATCACACTCGTAGCAAAGGCCACGCCGTCTGCAAGGCACCGGAGCCCGCCTGTTACTCCATCCAGCGGAGTGAGCCTTTCTTAAATAATGAAAGGTAAAAAGCACAAACGCAGCCGAGATGAAAAATCAATGATGTAGCCGAGGCTTCCTGCTTGCCGATTTGAATCATGAATCAAAACGATGCTCTTTAAATCACCGTGATGAATGGGGCTGGGCTGAAAGGCACCTGGGGGGCCTTGCTGGTCCCGCTGCCCAGGGCAGAAGCCGTGTGAAGGGAAGGGAGCCACGAGCAGCGGGGACATGCGGCCAGGGAGAAAAACTCGGGAGCTGCAACGTGGCAGCGGGGGGCTTCACACCGGGGTGGGGGGCTCATTTCCCAGTGCAACCTCTCAGGTGCACAAGAAACTTGCTCTCAGCTTCTCAGCAGCCCAGGGGGTGGCCGGGGGCTCCTGCTGGCCCCTGCGCCGTGCCGGTGCCGAGCGGGGCGGCGAGGGGGAAGCAGCAGGCGCCGGGCGGTGCTGTGCTGCGGGGGAAGCGCACACCCACGCGAGACGCGTGGGGAATGCGAGGGAACAACCATTTTTTTTTTTTTTTTAAGGGGCAAAGAACGGGGTAGAGACGGGAGGGAAGGGCAGGGACCTGTGCTCCCCCCGCGCCCTCCGCCCGTCCTCCCTCGCCCCGCACCTGGCGTGTGGCCGGGCTCAGTGGATGTGACACCCAGCGAGGACGCAGCCCCCGGCCGGGCGCTCCCCGCCGTCCCCGCTGTCCCCGCAGCCCCGCCGCCACGGCCGCGACCCGCAGGTGCTGCGCCTTGCCCCGCCGCGGCCACCCGCCCCCAGCCCCGCCGTTACCGGCACCGCCGCCGCCGCCGCATCCTCCGCTGCTCCGCGATGCTGCCGCCCGGCTCCGGCTCGGCTCGGCTCGGCTCGGCTCGGCTCGGCTCGGCACGGCACGGCACGGCACGGCACGGCACGGCACGGCACGGCTCGGTGCCACCGGCACGGCTCGGCGCGGTGCCACCGTCCCCAGCCCGCCGCTCCCCGCCGCGCTAATCCCGGCGCGGGGCCGTCACTCCGCCCCGCTGACAGCCCCGGCAGCCAATGGCAGCCCCGCGGGGAGCCGCGTCCCGCCCCCCCCGGTGGCACCGGGACCGGCGGTGGCCCCCGGGAGCATCCCCGGGGTGCGCGTCCCGGGGCAGCGCCGTGACCCCGGCCCCACGCGTGTCCCTGTGCCACCCGCCGTGGGCACCTGCAGGGCACCGCTGCCCGGGGAGCGCGGGGACAAAACCCCAAAGGTGCCACGGGTCCCAGGCCACCCGGGCTGCCCACGGGTGGGAAACGCCAGCCCACCTGCAAGAAACCTCAAGGGTGGGAAGAGAAACCCAGCCGCCACCCCACGCGTCCCGCACGGATCCCGCACGGGGACAGCGGCGCGGCGGTGGGGACCCGGCCACGGCCTGCACGCGGTGGCTGGCAGCCAGCACTCGCTGCCCGATCGATGCGCGATTAAAGAGCACTTTATTAGCCAGCCCAGCATCGTTACCACGCGTGTGAGAGGGGAGAGGCCCAGGAGAGCCGGTGCCTCGCACACCCGCAGTGTCCTCAGCAGGAATTTGGGGGAGCTGCCCCTTCGTGCTGCTCTCCTGGCCGATGGCGAGCCCGGCTCCGTGCCCACCTGCCCTCACCGTCACCCAGAAGCGTGTCCCCATCTCACAGGGACACGGGGAGGAAGCAGCACGCTCCCCTCATCTTTAATGCATGGCAGCACTGCCATTTTCTCCCCTCCTCCTGCAGGCTCCTGCCTGCGCAGCCCGTCTCCCCCACGCCAGGGACCACGGGTCCCCGAGCTGCCTCGCACGCTGACGGCTTTCCCGGCCGGCTCGAGCAAAGCTGGGCTAATTAGGGGCCTCGCTGCCGCGGGATCAGCGACCTGATTCCTTCAGCAGCTTCTTGATGGCAGGAGGGCGGTGGGAGGGGGGGGTGGAGGCTTTTCTCTAAGCCGCCGCCGGAACGACAAATTTAACCAAGTGGAAGAGCTCAGAGCTCTCCTGGCGTGCCCACACCGGGGCCAGCCACACCTGCGCCCTGCTGGCTCCATTGCTTCCCGTACCCACCTCTGCCCCTGGCTGCAGCCCTTCGCCTTCCCGCAGCCCTACGCCTCCGGAGCAGAAGCCCCTGTGCTCACTGTCACCTGGCACCAAATCCTGCAGGAGCCTCTCCAGCCCCACGCCGTCCCTTCCACCTCCTGGTCTCTGCCGGCTCCCCGAGCCCAGCCAGAGCTCTGTGTAGCTACTGCTGGCTTTGTCCTTGCTCACCTCCACAGCCCTGCAGTGCTCCTGTCCCTGCTGAGCCCAGAAGGGTCTGGGTGTCACCGGAGCAGCCCGGTGAGCAACTTGTTCCTTGGAAGAGCCTAACTGGAGCCACAGCACGACCCCCGGCACGTCCCTCTGCTGTCGAAGGCTCTGGGGCTGTGCTTTGGCCTCGGTGGTCCTGCCAGCGCGGGCATGGCTGTGAGGCAGGTGGGAGCTCCTCACCCAGCTGGGGGGAGCACCATGGCCATGGGGAGCACCATGGCCCTGCAGGAGTCCCAGGGGAGGCGAGGCAGCAGAGCTCCCTTTGTCTCCACACCGAGGGCTCCGGGGCAACCGGTGAGGCCATGTGCATTCCCTCGGGGCCAGGGCTTAACTACACGGCTCTAATTAATCCCTTCTGTGCCAACACCCAACCACATCCTCGCTAGATATTAAAAACCCACTGCAGCATAAGCCGAGTCTGCAATGGGTTGCTGCACTTATCTGTTACTCCACCGAGCTGGTGGCTAGGGATAAACGGTGCAAACCCCCCTCCTTGATGCTCAGCACAGAAACGCTGCTCCGGTGCTCACCCAGGCACGGAGGCAGTAACAGATCAGCAGCAGGGCCCTCCTGCCATCCCAGGTCCCCAGCAGGGAGACGTGGGCGTCCCCTGGCTCTGGCTGCCCTCTGCTCCCCAGCACGGGGGTGGCACTCACCTGCTAAGGGTGGGTGAGGACACGGCCCCGGGGTGTCTGCCAGCACCAGCATCGCTCCATCGGGACGAAGGCAAGAACGCCAGCGTGGTAAAACCTGTCCTGGGGATGTGGGAGGTGGGGCCCCAGCACAGTTTGAGCCATAAATAATCTCCCTACACAGCAGTTAAGGGAACAGTTGTGTGGGAGTATCTCTTGGTAAAAAGATGCTCAGGGAAAAGATGGTCTTGGAGGAAAGCAGGCAGCGGGTTCTGGCTGGGGGGAGTGCTCTCCCTGGGGGGGGAGCAGCCTGAGGGCCAGCGGGCTGTTCAGGCCCTCAAAAGCCACCACGCCAGGGAGATGAATTTAGCCTGAAACAACCCAAATCTGCAGCTCTGTGGTGCAGCCCCCCAGGACACATTTGGTGCTGCAGACGGAGCTGTGGGGCTGCTCTGCCTCGCCCTGCAGCAAAGCCCTGCCCTCCGCCTGCAGGTTCATGGGGAGAGGGGTGAAAGGTGAAACAGGCAGGGGGGGCAGGGGGCAGGAGGGGCAGCACGCCCCAGGCACACAGTAACGAGCGGGTAATTTATTGCAGAATAGCTCGGGAACCCTAAAATGGGGCCAAGAGGGAACATCTACACGTGTGGGGAGGGAATGGGGCATCGAGCCCGGACACGGGGCAAGGGCTCCGCTGAGCCCTGCCCGGCCCTAACCCTAACCCGGCCCTAACCCTAACCCTAACCCTAACCCTAACCCTAACCCTAACCCTAACCCTAACCCTAACCCTAACCCTAACCCTAACCCTAACCCTAACCCTAACCCTAACCCTAACCCTAACCCTAACCCTGCCCTAAACCTAACCCTAACCTTGCCCTAAACCTAACCCGGCCCTAACCCTAACCCTAACCCTGCCCCGGCCCTAACCCTAACCCGGCTCTAACCCTAACCCTAACCCTACCCCTAACCCTGCCCCGGTGCTGAACGGACAGCGCCGCGCACTGCGCATGCGCGGGCCCGCCCGCTTTCCCCGCGCCGGGCGGGGCGGTGGCGCGGGACACGCCCCCCGCGTGACGTCACTGCGGCGCCGGCAGCCGAGCCGCGGGTCCGGGTGCGGGTCCCGCTCGCGGTGCGGCTCCCGCTGGGTCCCGGTGCCGGTGCCGGCCATGAGCGGGCTGCTGGCGCTGCCCTGGGAGGATGTGCTGGTGCCGCACGTGCTGCGCCTCCTGCCGCTGCGGCAGCTGCTGAGCCTGCGGAGGGTGAGCAGGGCCTTCCGCGAGCTCGTCCGCCTCTACCTGGCCAACATGCGGCGCTTCGACTCCGCGCAGGTACCGCGGGGAGGGCGCGGGGCTGGGGGCGGGGGGTCCGGGCTGGGGGCCCCGCGGCTGGGCGGCCGCGCTCGGCGAGGAGAGGAGCGGCGGTGATTCAGGGCCCAGCAATGCCGCCCTCCTCGGCAGGCTGCTGGCAGCGAGGGCGGCACGGCCCCGGCTGGTCCTTGCCGTGGGTGTGCGCTGAGCGGGGCTGCCGGGGTGGGCACAGCCTGTGCGGGCCCTGCGGAGCGCTGCCCAGGGCCTGGAGGGGCAGCGGTGCCGTGAAACGCCCAGGGTGCTCTGGCACGGTTGTTGGAGAGCAGGGACGTGGAGCTCAGCACGAGTGTATAAATGCAGAGGCAAGGGAAGGAGCAGGGAGCACCCTGTGGCAGCACGCCTGCTGCTGTGTGGGGCAGAGCTGGGGCAGCAGGGCTTGTCCTGGGGTCGGGAAAGGGGCTTTGGTCACCTCTGTGCCACCGTGGGTGAGAGGAAGGGAGCGGGTCTCTGGGCGCTCAGCATCAGGCTCAGCACACTCTCAGCAGCCCCGTTATCCCCGTGTTCCCCCCGCAGATCGCACCCGCCATCCCCAGAGCCGCCTTCCTGACCCTGCTGCAGGACAACAAGGTGCTGCAGCTGCTGGCGCTGCAGAGCTGCTCGGACTGGCTGACGGACGGGGAGCTGCTGCCGGTCATCAGGCAGAACCACCACCTGCAGCACATCCAGCTGAAGGGCTGCGCCCAGCTCAGCTGCCAGGCGCTGATGGCCATCTCGCTGAGCTGCCCCAACCTGCGGCGGCTCTCCCTGGCCCACTGCGAGTGGGTGGACAGCCTGTCCCTGCGCAGCCTGGCCGACCACTGCAAGGCGCTGGAGGCCGTGGACCTGACGGCCTGCCGGCAGCTGAAGGACGAGGCCATCTGCTACCTGGTGCAGAAGTGCAGCAGGCTCAAGTCCCTGTCGCTGGCTGTCAACGCCAACGTGGGCGACGTGGCTGTGGAGGAGACCGCCAAGTGCTGCCCCGAGCTGGAGCACCTGGACCTCACCGGGTGTCTGCGAGTCAAGAATGACTCCATCAGGTATTGAGCAACGGGGAAGCTGGGTGGGGAAGGCAGGTGGCTGGGGTGTGGGTAAGAGACTTGGGGGGGAAGCCAGATTGCTTCATGCCGAGAGCAATTAGAGTGCAATTTGGGGGAGAAGCCACTAGCAAGGCATTCAGGAGAGGTGATATGTGCTGCTAAAAGCAAATTCCCTGGTGTGTCATGGAGATAGTTCAGGGATCTGACCATGTTGCTTGAGTTCCTCTCAGACTGCCGCAGCACTGTTCCCAAAGGATGCTGCACGTGTGGCACGGGGAGCAGAGGAGGGTGAGCTGGGAACTGTGCTTTCAGGAGTCCTGGCCTGCAACCCACACGCGCTCTTTCTTGGCAGGGTCCTGGCTGAGTACTGCCCCAAGCTGCGCTCGCTGAAGGTGAAGCACTGCCACAACGTGGCTGAGTCCAGCCTGAGCGTCCTCCGAAGCCGTGGAGTGGAGCTGGATGTGGAGCCTCTGCCGCAGACAGCTCTCGTTCTCCTGCAGGACATGGCTGGCTTCGCCCCTTTCATTAACCTCCAGATCTAGGACTGCTGGGGAGGGGGGACCAACACCTCGCTGGGATCCCCGGAGGATGCCGGAGCCGGGTGCTGCTGAGACGTGCAGAGGGAGAGGTTGGTCCTGCTGGTGAGGCTGGCCCGAGAGGGGCTCACTCTTGTCTCTGGGGCTGTTTAACAGCCACTGCGTGTTTGTGAGTGAGCTCTGTTGGTGCCTCCTGGGAAAGTAACTCCCTCTGCAGTGGTTGGGAGAGAGCGAGGGACTTGTGGGAACACCGTGGTGCTGAACAGGCCTTGGCTAGACCAGCTAATAGTCAGGATTTATTTTTTTGTTGTATTTTAAATCTCCAAGTGGCAGCTGTCCAGAGAGCAGGGGAGTTTGGGGACTGTGGACTGCCGTCCCCTGGGGCGGGCATGCAGGGCATGCCAGCAGAGCTGTTGAGACCAAATCAGGTCAGCTGGAGCAGAATGGAGAAAAGCTGCCAGTTCTCCCCTCAGGAGAGGCTGGGCTCCTCCGCGCTCTGGGAGGTGGCCAGTGCGAGCCCAGCTCCATCCTGTAGCCCCGGCTAGCCTGGCACCAAAGGCCTGGTGTGGTGCAGCGTGGCAACCTGTGTGTGCAGACCTAGCTCCTTGCCACGGGGCGCTGGGTTAGGCGGGTGCAAGGCAGTTGTTTCCCAGGGGAACATGCTCCTAACCACGATTTCACCAGAGGAAGAGCACCAAACCTAGCTGTGCTGTCACTGAGAGCAGTTGGTCATCACCATTTGTTTCTTCCAGATTCTGAATTACATTTCAGTAGTGCCCCAGCCTGCTTCTACATCCCGCTCTATGTTGTGTGGCTGTAGTGTCCACGTTCAACAGTGGAGAGAAATTGCAGGGGCCCTGTCCATATTGTTGGCTGGAGTTTTTTTGAGCGCTGCAGGTTATCTTGGCAGGGAGAGCCCAGTTCCTGTCTTTTGCCCCAGGAGGGATTAGAGGCAGAGTGCAGCTGAACTACACACCAGTTTGCATCGTCTTTATTGGCACTTGCACTCAAAGCAAAAGTGCACACAGACTTCTAAAAAGCTTGCTGCAAAACCACAAGCCATATCTTAGATCTAAGAACGTCCCATGCAAGGAATAGCAGAGAATGCCCAGGCCCCTGCTAGCTGCTGTGGTGTGTCCCTGGGGGCAGAAGGACAGCTACCCCCAGAGAGGCTTGTCCTTGTCAGCTGGGTTAGTTCAGGAAGCTGAAAGCAGTGTCCTGGCTCCCAGGTTAGTTCCAGTTAGTGCTGGGTGGGGTGAAGGAGTCCCCTCTCATCCCTAGTGCCACGTGTCCTTCCTCCCACGCCTGGCCAGCGAGGTGGAGGCTGAAGAGCAGGAGGACCTGGCTGTCAGTGGAACTTGTACTTCCTGGCTGGTTTGAGGCTGATGTAAGTTTTCTTCATCTCCTCACTCTCTGGCTTCTTGATGTCTTTGTACCTCTCTCCCTTTGTACTCACCACCTGGTTATCAATATAGCGGATCAGCTTCTTGGGAGCCTGGAGAGGAAAGACAAACACCAAGTGGATGGCTGCTGGGGAAAGGGAAGGGACAAGTGTAAGGAAAGCTGTGTTTGGGGGCGGAGGAACAGCAAGACTAGGTTGGGAGGAGTTACCTGTCCTTTTTGTGGGGAATCTTGGCTAAAAAGGCAAACAAAACTGTTGGACGGGGGGGAGGGAGGGAGGGATGGCAGAGCAGGAACCATGCTAGTCAGTGGTAGGTACTGACAGACCCTGCAGTGACTAAACTAATCTTCTCTTTTGTAAACTAACCTTCCCTTTTGCTCTCTAGTGGCTCTGTGAATGTTCCTGCCTTGGGACTGCCTCTGCTCTTTGGACTTGTGGCCTGCTCTTTAAACCTTGTAGCCAAAGGCATTCAAACTCTGGGTGAGCTGGAACTGCTCTCTTCTCACCTCTTTTGGTGGAGCTGGCCGATGTGTTTTCTGATCTTCTGCACTATCCACCATCATGTATCTGAAACACAAGAAGCATTTGGTGAATGCTGCAATGTGCATTGCCTAGGGCTATTCACAACCTACATCTCTTTTTTTCCTGGCTGGTCTGTGGCTGTGCAATGTGTCCTACTTGCCTGGATTGCAGCTAGGAGTGTTTAAGGTTCCCCTTTGGATGACATGGGCAAGAAGTGTGTCATCATTCTGGTGGGAATCCAGCAGGATTCTCCTGGAGTAGCATCCTTGGCCCTAAGTGAATGGTATGAAAAGCTCAGGCTGTTGAGAATGCGGATAGTCCCTGTAAAATGGAGAATTGCTGAGGTCTGGCATGCTCTAACACTAGGGTAGCTTTGCTCCTTTTCAGTCTGAGTGATGGCAGCCAAAGGAGATGAGGTAAAATCAGAGGGCCAAGCTGGTTGCTTCTGCCCTGAAGAGATGGTATGCCTGTCACATTATGTAGTACTTGACTAGGAAACAAATTTGAGCTGGAAACAACTTTGTAAAAGCATCACCTCTTTCCCTATTTAATTGAAACGTCAGGGCCCAAGTGTTCGCTTGCTGTACTGCTGAGGTACTGGAGCTGGTTTCACAGGTGGGCAGCACAGCTGGCCATGCCTTCTCCCTCAGTGGTTAGCACAGTTGTTCCCGCGTATCTTCAGCTATGGTGATCTGCTCTCTGTACCTGTGCTTGAACGATGTTTAAAGTACAGGATGTTGCCAAAACGTCATTAAAGTGAAGTTCCTAGAAATGTAACTATCAGCTGGTGGTTTTTTTTGTTTTGTTTTTTCTGTTCCCTTGCATTTGACTCTGAAAGAAGCCTGCACAGGAGACCAGCAAGGACAGGGACTGTTAATTCTGTCTGGATGCTATTCTGCCTTGCTTTATCTTCCCTAGACCATCAGTTGTTTGTTCCCTCACTGATAAGCATGTGAAGTGGTGGAAAAGATTGATGGATAGACTGGCTGGACAGACACGTGGAAACTGCATGCCCACAGAAGAATACTCATGAAAGCCAAGATCTTTAAATGGATCGATTAAACCATACTGTGGGTTTTCTATTGAGAATAAAATGCTTTTGGACATGAATAAAGGTAAACCAATCTAAAGCCACTTTCATTCCCCAGAAGTCTTTAGGGAGCCTTTGGAGTGGTTTCTTTAAATGCATTGAATTCACACCTTCAGCAACTGAGATTTGATCTTCCCAATGTTGCTGTACAGTCTCTTAAAGATATCTTTAGGCTTGTTTGGACTGTCTCCAAGGATGGAGGCATGAATGAGCTGCTGTAGTTCTACAAGGCACCACGTGTTACCTGAGCTGCAGCCTGATGTTTGTGCCTTGAACCTTTAACTGGGGCCTCAGCTGACAATGCTGTGATTTACAGTATGCCTGCAGGAGGTTGAAACCTCACACACAGCCAGTGCTGTGACCCAGCCGATGGAGGTAAGCTGTTTGTGTGCCAGGGCTCTGAAAGAAACCCCAACCTCTTTTCCCAGCCAAAGGTCATACTTGTGCTTAGATCTTTCAGCTATATGTGAATCAGCTATCTCCTTTACTGTGAGCAGAATATGGGGTTCTTTGGGTACTTACTTCTGTAAGATAACCTGCTTCAGTTCCTCATGGTTAGGTACTCTGCGGGGCCGTACCAGTTCCTGGGAGGAGACAAAGCAGGTGTGTAAGTAGCAGAACACACAGGGTGCGCAGCTGCCCTGCTAGCTCAGCCCAGTCCAGCTGCTGATGCAGTACTCCCAGCCCGTGGGGGAAGCGGGGTGCCTCGCGCAGCTCCATGGTGCTGGTTGGGTATAGGCACAGCCTGTACTTGGAGAGCTGAGGGAGGGAGAGGGGGGTGTTCTGGGTGATTTTCCTGGCCCATTGCTGGGAGCGTGGAAAGTTCCTGCAGTCAGAGTTCCCATTCGTGGTAGGCAGCTGGGATACCTGTTTTTATCTGAGCTCTGCACAGCTCTTCAGCTCGGTGCTGCCCAGCTTAGAGCACATTACCTTCACACTTGCACCTGCTGGGCCAATTTCCACCTTCTCTTCCACAATTAACTGCACTGCCTCCTCCAAGTTCCCCAGGGCCATGGCTAGTGCCTTCTCTGCCTGTCTCACAGTACAGGCAGGGAACATCTCCAGTAGCAGCTCTGTGCCATCCTTCAAGTTGTCGCCTTCCTAGTTGGAGCAAGAGAGACAAAGCTCTGATTTTGCATTAAGTCAGAAAATTCAATTTGCCTTTTAATGAGAGAGAGCATGCAGCTAAAGAGTGACTGTAAATCCCATTCCTGAAGCTAAAAGGGAATTGTATCTGCAAGGACAAAACATCCCTTAATCTCTTCCCTACTTCAGCCTTTAAAATAGGATTTCTGTTCCCTCACCTGTGTAGCCCTGCTATTTATCCCCTAGGAGTGAACTTCCTGGGCACTGTGGTTCAAATGCTTGAACTCCTCCCCTTCTGAGGTTATGTGCCCTTTGATCGGAAAGGGATGACACTCCTAAGCACAGGGACCTGCAGCTACACCAGAAGGAAGCACAGCAGCAGCATTTCCTAGAATGCTGTGGACACAGAAGGATTGAACTGCAGAGCAGTAAGACGCCAGTACTGGAGAAACAGCAAGCAGAGCTTTGGGGTAAAGAGGTGGGGGGCCTACTAGGCACTGCAATGTCTGCAGCATGGGGCACGCTGACTGGAGCTGCGGGATCAAGACTGCCGTGCCAATGACTGTGTGGTTCAGCTCAGCATATACGCAGCACAGGTCACTGTGGGTGGGACTGGTGTCTTCAGGACTGACACAGGTGTGGCTACTAGATACTGCATCACAGCCAGGGAGTGATCAGGCTCAAACTGTCAACTGAGGTGAGTGGAATGGGGTAAAGTGGGGTGGAGCCTGGCTAGTGCTGTAGAGGCGTCCTTACTGCACTGCTGTAGGATCTTGGAGAGCCCTGGGACAAGCTCTCTCTTGCCCTACTACCTCGGGACAGGGAAGGATGAGCCAGAGTGATGGCTCATGCTCTTCTGGCAGCACTTAATTTTCTTGTTCCGCTTACTGACGCTGTCTTGCTCAGGCCACGCAATGTGGGAGATCACAGGCATCAACGACGCTGTGTCACAGCCTGTGCTGTGCTTCCTGTCGGAGCCAGAAAATGACTTAGGTGTTGCTGACAGCCTAGTGCTAGGTGACGCTGTCACCCTGTGGCGTGGACATACCTGGGCCTCGGCTCTGTCTGTTGGAGTGCACAGCCTCTCCCCATTGCAGGCTCCAGCTCCAGGCTCCTGGCCCTTGGTCAGGTCTTCAGAGGGTGCTTCACTCCTGGGTTCTGCAGCCTTTCGGCCAGGTTTTTCTTAAAGACACAGTGGTATCTACTGAGCAACAGCCCCACAGAGGCCACAGCTCTGTGCTTTCTGTTAGCATTAGATTGCTAGTACATCATTTGCCAAAGTAAATCTCTTTTAAATGACAAAACTGGGAGGCACTACTGTTCCTCCTGCCTTCACTGAACTAAAGCATCACTTTGATTTTAAATTTAGGAATACACAATGGTGGTTCCAGCCTGTGTGTGACCCAGTGCATCCTGTGGTCAGCTTACTCTGATGCATCTCCTTTTACAGATTCATTCTGTGTCTCTGTAAGGATTTCACCTCTGTTCTATCTTGTCTAAAGCTGGGATGGCATTCTCCTTCCACGTGAAGGCTGTATCAGGATCCTCAAAGGGTAGGATGGGGGGCACCAGAGCAGAGCAGTAGGTTTTGTCAAGTTCAAGAAAGCAGCAAGCAAGATAAAAGGATTGTCTGTTCTACATGGTGTAGCCTTCTGGCTCCTGGTAAGGCAGCAGTGATGTTGTTAGATAGGCAAAACCCAACCTGTTACGTATGGTTTAATATCCAGGCACTTCACCTGTCTGCTCTCCAACAGGAACTGCCTTTGGGGATGGTTAGTATAGCTATCAGCTGATCTGTGAGCACTGAGATCAGAAAGTGCTTACTGCGGTAGTCTTCTGCAGTCCTGCATAACACAGGCCAGAGAGCACATCACAGCTGATTTTGCATCTGTGACAGGGGTCATGAGTGAATGGGAAGTGAGCTCTGAGTACGCTCAAAGTCTAATCTCTATTTTGTGATGCACCTGAGATGGGCTGCCCAGCAGTACTATCCATTAGTCAGATGGCTATCAGAGGAGACAGCAATCTCACTTTCAGGATTAACCTATAGCAGAATTTTGGCAAACATCCCTGTATCTGCTATGACTTTCTTTTTACTCTGGATTTTATCTCAACAGAGATGTTTAGAGATCTGGTCAAGTGTTTTTCACCCCAGCCTCTTGGACAGTACTCCGTATGACTCAAGCCTCCCGTGTATTTACATCAAAAATCTGGCTGAAAATTATAAAGAAAAAAAAGTCAACCAATTCAGGCTAGCCTGTAAGATCCTAAGTTTTGCAAACTAGATTGTTTTATGCTGTGACACTGGTCAACTCCAAACACTAGGACTGAAAATGTGCAGAATATACTTGCTTGTACTGAAACCGTGTAACTCACCTTTGTTGCGTGCTTCACCAAGCCTTTCTGAGAGAGAGAACATCATTTCACAAACATCCCCACTGCAAGAGACAGAAGCTGCATAATTAGTGTGAGGAATAAAAGCACTAGCCTCTCCTTCTTGACTACCTCTTTATAGAAAGACAAGGTTTAATGGGAAGTCCAATAAACAAAACTGGCATTTAAGACAGCCAAGGACCTAGCTTGCAAACTATACTGGGATTATCATTTATGTATTCAGGCAATGCCTGTCTTAATCATCGTGGCACAGGTTTGGTACTAACACCTCCCCATCTGGGTACAACAAAAGTATTCATGTCATTGAGCTGGTTGGGTCCAGACACCCACTGCGTGGCATGCACGTACAAGGCAGGAGCACTCGTACCTGGGGATCTCTGCAAAGCCCGGAATGTAAGCCTCCATCACTTCTATGAAGGTGTCCATGTCAAAGGTCTCCTCAGAGGACTCTGGTGAGCCCAGCTCTTCCAGGACACCCGTGATGTAAGAAAAGAAAACATCATCCATCCCACTGGAGACAAAGAGAACATAGGACATGGAAGCAGGGTCAACAGGACTATTTTTTTCTTTCTCATTCCATGCCTACTCTGTCTAACCTTGTGTCTTTCTAATACAGCAGTAGGAGAACCTATGTGGACTGTATCTTATGGGCAGGTCCCACCAGTAAAGCCAAGCAGCTGCTCTGTAGTCGAGTGGGAAGCATTCACAGATAAGTTCAGAAAATACTGCGTGCTGTTCTTTTGCCTAGGCGGCACTGAATGAAAGCCACAGCACCTGTCTAGAACTACCCAAAACATTCCAAGTGCTCAAACTCTGACTTTTCTGGGTTGACTGCTGTTCTAGGTGATCTCATTATATTTTGTCAAGTTGCAATTTCTGTGGGATGCAGCATTTTCTGCTTGCTGCTCCGCACTTGTGTTATTGCTGCCACTGGCTGCAGAACCAGCGGCTGTGCTCTAGCCTCAAGGTGGCTGTATCTTTTCGTGCAGGCAGAGTTCAGAACAGGGAGAGCCCGGACATAGTGGTGCATGCTCAGAAAGCCCTGTGGGATCACTGTGTATAAATGGAATTCCATATTCTTATGTATAATACTGGACAAAAATTAATCATCTTGGTCATCAAAGAAATGGCATTACTTGATTTCAATGCTGAAAGATGGTTGTTCAAGGATTTATAGCAAAGCCTGTGCAAATTACCTGCATCCTGGATTTGACTTAAGGAAAAGCAATACGGCAGAGCTGTAATATTCCACTTGGAGTTCAGCATAATGTGCAGAAAGACAATTAATACAGAGTTCAAGCTAAAACGATATTAGACCTCAACATACCTGAGGTCTGCAGCAGGGATGTGGGACTGGATGAAACATGTCAGTGTGTTTCGAATGATTCTTTCAAGCTCCATGTCTCTGTAAACCCTTCTCTCTGAAAAAGAGGAAGAAAACTCCATGTAATTTTAAAGGCACGTAGTAGATCAAAATATCACCAAGATCAAACGGTAAGCATGGTATAAGCAAGCGTGTTCTTCCCATCAGAACAATTCGTGAACCCCTCCAGCATGGCTTGATGTTCCCGGGTAACAGCAAAGACATCAGCATTATGAGGATCCACTGGAAATACCAGCCCAAAGTAGCCCAATCTCTTGGGCATCTCCTGCTCACGCTGATGCTGGCAATATGCAGCTGTACCGTACATTTAACAAGTCCCTCGCAGGAAGGAAAGCTGCAAATGCAGATGTGCCCAGCTGCAGGACCTCAGAGGCACCTCCTGAGCAGGAACGCTGTGCTCTCCAGCGGGGAAGGGGTGGCTTGCGCTCACTGCAGGAAGGGGTGGACCTTTCTTCGGCTAAGAGTATTCTCACTGATGCTTGGACTCAAAAATGAGTGGGAGGAAGGGTTATGTCTCTTGGAGAAAGGAAAACCTTGACTGGATTTCACAGGGAAATACCAAGCAGGGCACAGACAACTAGTCTCCCAGCCAAAATATCAAAGGTCTCCAGGTCAGGCACAGGCTGCCAATGGAATCCCGCCCAAACAGCAGCCTGTTGTGCTCAATAAATGAGCCTTTCTGCAGACAATGCAGCTGCAACAAGGGGTACTTGATAACCCAAAGCTCTCAGGGGAGTTCTAAGAATCACAGAGCTCCTACAGAAGTAACAGCAGAGGGGGGCTGCCCACAGCCCTGCTTCAGCCATCAGTGGTGGGCCTGGACTCAGTCTGGTGGAGAAAAGCCATTCCTCAACCATTCCTTCCCACTTGGGTCTACAAAGCTGTGGGGTGGGCAAACTCCTCATGTAAGCACAGAGTTCTTCCCAAAGAAGAAAACTAGACCTGCGTGTACAGAAACTGCCATGGTCATCAGCCAAAAAGCTTCCAGGCTGTGGAAGTCATCAGGCTCCCCTCGTCTCACACAGAGCAGGACCTGACCAGGACTGTTTCACATTGACTTAGCAGAGCAGTCTCGGCTGCTGTTCCCACGGAATCAAAAAGTTTTAGCATTTCCTGAGATGAGACTTCCAGAGCTAGCAGGATAGAAACAAACCCAGCCCATCATCCTCAGCACTGCTGATACAGGACCTATAAAGGACCAAAGCACAACAGCATTTTGACAGATCTATCTGCAGTCTCAGGGCCCATTTGAGGTCTGCACTGCACTCGGCCACCACTGCAGGTCACCAGAGTACATGTACACTCTTGTGTTTGTGGCTGGACAGAGCACACCCAGGCCAGCTAGACCTGCCTCTGGCTGTCACACTGAGGCTCTGGTGATTTGATATTGAGGGACAAAGCTGTGACACTGCAAAGATGCTCTGTTCGGTACATGGCATCCCACACTGCATCTCCTGCACCTCACCTTACAGCAGCTGGACAAAGTGAGACATTGATAGAAGAACTCCCGATTCTCACTGGGTGCAGACCTAAACACAAAAGCCATCTAATTACATAAACCTTCCTGTAGCTAGTGGTGTCAGTACCAACCTTCCCACTGACACAGTTCCAGTAACTTAAAAAGAACGCAAGCCCTTCCTTACATTCACCTCTCACTTGGGGCCATAACAACGAGTTTTCGGTGCTGTACCACCGCATGACCAACACGCAGGTATTAAAACACAGCATGTGCAGGAACAGCTGGGGAAGGCATCATTGGAAAAGATTGGGTTTGCTGTTTCAGTTTTAAGCTGGAACTGCTTAAGTTACTTTACCTCCTGTAATTTCAGATAGAAAACTCCCATTTTACAGCATCAGAGAAAAACAACAGCCCAAACATTTTCAGGTAGGAGCTCTTCATGCAAAGAGCCCAAGCGAGCCCCTGTGCTGCTTCTTCCTTCAGTCTCATGAGAATCCTTTGCTTGCTTTTAACAGTTTTGCAGGTGTCATAGCCTGCAAGTGTGGAAGCTGGCTGTAAAAACCACCCTGTGTAAAAACACCTTCCTGCTGCTTGTTTGTTGGTTTAGTGTTTTTTTTTGTTTTTTTTTTTTTATGTTCTCTAGTGGTGCGACAGAAACAAGTTTGTCTGTGCAACACACCCAGAAAAAAAGGTGAGCTTTGTTCTATCCTTCTCAGACATCAAAGAGTCAACGGTAAGATTTTGAATCTCACTCATGGCAAGAATACTGTCCTAAGCAACATGTTTTTTCCCCACTTTTTAAGCTGAATCTGCAAACACTGGCAACCACCAAGCCCCCTAAACTTATATTTGAACAAGCACAAGAGAAGTAATTTTCTTTTTACAGAAATGAGAGAAGGAAAATCAACATTTAGCAGTCAAAACATTCTTCCTACTGCCACTTCCAACAAGAATGCTTACTTCCTTCTTATTCAGTTTTCACAACTTGGAAGCTGAAGTCTAAAAGATTTTGTCCATTTCCATGAAACAGGCCCATATTCTATAAGAGATGCTGCATAGTAACCAATAACATTTCCTGACAATCCAATTACCTGAACAACAGAGCACAATTCCCCATGTCAAAGGCACTTTTGTGAGGTCCATAAATTAGCTGCTGGTAATTTATTCTGATCAATAGAACAGGCAAAGTCACTCATCTCCTTAATCAAAGCCAAGTGTCAGACTGGGACAAGAGAAACAGGAAAAAATAATTCAGAAGTGGTATTGTAGAGGTGGCCAGTTACCAACTGGTCTTGAATCTGTTCCCCAACCTCTGACAACCAAGAAAAACACTGGTTTGAAAGGTTTGAAAATATCAAGATACTTTCCTGCAGAGTTACTATGTTGCGTATGAACAAAAGCCATTTCCTTGTGTCTATGAGAAGAAAGAAGCCACCAGGTTCTAACTACTGTGTATAAATTCTTTCTGGCATCTCACACAAATTCATCCCCCAGCACACTTGAGATTTAAGGTTTATATCCAGGGAAGGCATGCTGTCACCTTTAGCCTGCCTTTGAAGAAAGGAAACCCCTTAATGACAAAAGCAGCCTTACAATGAAGGACAGAAAGAGGCAAGGTGAGCAACTTTTTTTTTTTCATGGGTCAGTTACCATCCTTTACCTGGGGAACCCACCTCTGCTCCGATAAAACCACAGGCACCAGCCTTCTGACAGACAGGCACACTTGCATTTGATCATTTATTGCTGGGAGGAGAGATTTTATTCCCTGGTAAATAAACTGTCCTTGCAAAACTTAACTTCTTCGGATTTGTAAAGCACAATGGTCTCTGCCAAACGAGACTTGTGGAAAGAGAAGTCCTCAGTGTCCTTTGGCCTTTCAGATTTGGTGGGTATTGAAAGAGGAAGCTGATTAAAAACCTATGCACAAACATTTTTAAATGGATTCTTCAGGGAAGAAACCTATGTTGCTGCATGTTCATCTCCACATATATCCAAGTTCAGAATTACATAACTCAGGACCCTAAGGCACCTTATGTAATATACCTTCAAATGCCTTTTTTTTCTTTTTTCCAGTGGTGCAATAGTTAAGGGAGAGATTTACTAGAAAACCTTATCCTTTGCGCACAGTTTTGTGGAGGAGTGATTTACAACGCACTGCATGATCTAAAACCAAAGGCAAGAGAAATTGCTTTCCTGGGAGTTCAATTGTACTGAAAAGGTGCTATCATCATTTTAAACTTCCAGCCGTAATTGCAGTGCGGATTTTAAGATCACTTCGGAAGTTGTCAGCCAACTCAAATACGTCTGTGAAAGTCCTGCTGCATTTCTTGTCATTATGATGTGGGCATGGCTTATCATGCTGCACAGGATCTAACTTGCTTTTTCTAGTTATGCTGTATTCTAAAAAAGTTGGCTTCTTTTTGTACAATGCACATGAATCCTCTTTTCTTCAGAAAAAGAAGAAAAATCTGAAATTTTTGCATATGGCTAGATCATTTCTGAAGACTCTTTCAGCTCAAATTTCTGTAATCATTCTTAAATGGTCAATGGGATGTGATGGGAATGATTTATAGTGCCTTAGATTTTATATTAACAAGATAGACTTTAGGAGAACAATTTAGGAAAAGGCTTCTGAGCTGAGAGGAACTGCCATTTGGATGTATATCAACTTTTATGAGGTCATAAATTTGCCTACCAAAGAGTCGAGGTTGCTGCAAGAGGAAGGAGATGCATGTTGTAGGCCTTGGTTGTATGCCTTCAGAGCAGGCTAGAGAAAATTTAGGTAAAAATGATCAGGCTTTCTGGCTGAGGGATTGACTATAACACCTTTACAAGGTTCTTTTAGCTCAAGTTCCAGTAATTACTCTTAAGAGAGTAAGTAATGGAACAGGGATGGTTCACTGTGCTCTCTCTGAACACTTGCTATGAGAAGGTACAAGGCACTTCTCGTGCAGCTGTGTGCGTGTACGTGCTTGAGAAAGCAGAGACCCCTGGGACACAAGGAGCTCTCGGCATAGCCCGTGACATACAAACTCAGAGGAAGTCTCCGGTACATCCAAGCAGAAATCAGACCTGCAGGAAAGATGGAGAGCTGTGGCTATATTCCACTGACCTCCTTTTCCTCCTGAAACTTCGCTGACTTGAAATAAAACTTTCCAGGCTACATAATGCCTTACGTTCCGGTGTGCCTGTTTTTTGTTTTTCCTGCTAAAGAAGTCCCTCAAAGGACATCCACGGTACGGCTGCTATGGGAAAGCAGGCTGGGGTCATTGAAAACATCAGCACAGTGAGCTGCTTAATGATACAACGTTACAATACGGCTGTTGTTAATAACATAGTCCCTTCCCAGGAGGATAGCAAGGCTGGAATTCCCCCTCAGTGGGGTGGCTGCAGGCTGGCGGTGCGGTGCTGCTGCTGGTCCCTTACCTGAGCAGGCCCTCTGCCCACAGCCGGCGCTCACAGGGCACCTCGCTGCCCGCAGCGACACCACATCCTGCGGCTGCTGGGGACAGGCCAGGAGCCGGGGACCCTTCCTGGGAAAGGAAAGCTCGGTTAGCCCGAAACACGTTTGTTCTTTGTGCGTGGTGGCTTTGGGGCACGGTTGCTGTCACCTGTGCCTGCCTTCCCAGCCGCCGCGGGTGGCGTTGTGCCCCTCAGCACAGCGCCCTGCACGCGGTGACCTCGAGCGCAGCATGACGCCCTGGAGCCCGCTGCCCCCGGCGCTGTGCCAACACTCCCCGTGTCTGCGCCGAGCCTCGCGCCGGGCCCCGCTCCCCACCGGGGCACCGCAGCAGCGCGTGTGGCGCCCGGCGGGCCGCGCTGCTCCCGGCCGCCCTCACAGGGCCCCTACTGCCCCCCTCCCGGACCGGGGACCCCATGGAGGCCACAGAGGCCCCTCAGCCCCGTCCCCGTCCCCGTCCCCGTCCCCGTCCGTGGCCGCTCCGCTCCCCCCCCCCCCCCCCCCCCGCGCTGAGGCAGCGGCCGTTGGCGGGGTCACCTGATCGCGCCGCCGCCGCCGCCGGTCCCGCGCGGCGCTCTTGAACGCGTCACGTGGCCACGGAAGGCGCCGCCGGCCGCAGAGGCGGGCGGGCGTAAGGGCAGAGAGGCGGAGGGCTGGCACCGCTCCCCGCGCCGCCATCTTGGTTGAGGGCAGGAGCTGTGAGGGCGGCGCGGCGACAGGGGGGGCGGAGCGCGTTGGGTGTCCGCCGAAATTTTGGGGCGAAAAAAGGACATTTCGCAGTGAAAACAATACATTTTTGAGGTGAAATAAGATACTTTGACGTGAACACAATATACTTTTAAGTGAAAGCAAGACAATCTGAGGCGAAGGCAAGATATTTTGTGGAGAACACAAGACATTTTCAGGTGAAAATGATATTTTGCAGTGAAAGCTAAGAGTTCTGAGGTGAAAAAAATACATTTTGGGGTAAAAAAAGACATTTTGTGTTTAAAACGACATTTTGTGGTGAAAACAAAGCATTTTGAGGTGAAAATGTGGAATTTAGGGTGAAAATGAGACGTTTTGGGGTAAAAACTAGAGGTTTTGAGGTAAAAAGAAGACATTCTGGGAGGAAAACAAGGCATTTTGTGATGAAAAGATATTTTGGGGTGAAAACGAGACTTTTGGGATGAAAAAAAGACATTTTTGGGCGAAAACGAGACATTTAAGGGTGAAAAAGAGATTTTTTGGGTTCTAGACAAGGCATTTTGAGATGAAAAAACTCGTTTTTTGCTGAAAATGACACATTTTGGGGTGAAAACAAGACATTTTTGACCTAAAATAAGATAGTTTGAGGTGAAAACAAAATATTTTAAATGAAAGCAAGACAATCTGAGGTGAAAACAAGATATTCTGTGGAGAACACAAGACATTTTCAGGTGAAAATGATATTTTGCAGTGAAAGCAAGGAGTTCTGAGGTGAAAAAAATATATTTTGGGGTAAAAAAAGACATTTTGTGTTTAAAATGACATTTTGTGATGAAAACAAGGCATTTTGAGGTGAAAATGTGGAATTTCAGGGTGAGACATTTGGGGTAAAATGAGACATTTTTGGGTAAAAACTAGAGTTTTTGAGGTAAAAAGAAGACATTCTGAGAGGAAAACAAGGCGTTTTGTGATGAAAACATATTTTGGGGTGAAAACGGCTTTTTGGGTGAAAATGAGGATTTTTAGGGTGAAAACGAGATTTTTTGGGTTCAAGACGAGGCATTTTAGGGTAAAAACGAGAATGTCTGGGTTCAAGACGAGGCATTTTGAGATGAAAAAACTCGTTTTGTCCTGAAAACGACACATTTTGGGGTGAAAGCAAGGCGTTTTGAGCTGAAACCTAGACATTTTGGTGTGAAAACAAGACATTTTGAAGTGAAAACAAGGTATTTTGGGGGTGAAACAGGGACATTTTGAGGGGAAAACGAATCATTTTGGGGTAAAAAGGGGGCATTTTCTGGTGGAAATGAGAAATGTTGAGGTGAAAACAAGGTATTTTGTGGTGAAAAGATATTTTGGGGGAAAAACGAGTCATTTTGGGGTGAAAATGGGACATTTTGTCGTGAAAACTAGACATTTTGCGGTGAAAAGCTATTTTGAAGTGTAAACAAGAAACTTTGTGGAGAAATAATGCGTTTTGGGGTGAAAACCAAGTGTTTTGGGGTGAAAACCAGGCATTTTGGGGTGAAAAGTTATTTTGAAGTGGAAATGACATCTTGTGAAGAAAGACAGTGTTTTGAGGTGAAAACAAGGCGTTTTGTGGTGAAAAGCCATTTTGAAGTGGAAACAAGGTATTTTGGGGTGAAAATGGGACATTTTGTGGTGAAAAGATATTTTTTTTAGGAAAAAAATATAATTTTGGATGAAAACGAGGCATTTTGGTGTGAAAAGACGACGTTTTGTGGTGAAACCTAGATGTTTTGAGGTGAAAAGAAGACATTTGGGGGGGGGGGAAACGGGGCATTTTGGGGTAAAAATGAGACATTTTGGGATGAAAAGGAGACATGTTGGGGTGAAAAAAGGGACATTTTGAGGGGAAAACGTGGCATTTTATGGTGAAAACTAGACATTTTTGGGTGAAAAGCTATTTTGAAGTGTAAACAAGAAATTTTGTGAAGAAGGAAGGTGTTTTGAGGTGTAAAAATGATGTCTGGGGGTAAAATAAAAAAAGACATTTTGTGGTTAAAACGAAATTTTTGGATGAAAACAAGGCATTTTGTGGTGAAAACATGGAATTTTGGGGTGAAAACGGGACATTTTCTGGTGAAATTATATTTTTGGGGAAAAAATATATTTTTGGATGAAAACGAGGCATTTTGGGGTGAAAACAAGACATTTTGAGGTGAAAACAAGGGAGTTCAGTGGTTAAAAGGGGACATTTAATGGTGAAAAGATAGTTTAAGGTAAAAAAAAAAAAGATAATTTGTGGAGAAAACAAGGCGTTTTGAGGTGGAAACAACATTTGGGGTGAAAACAAAGCTTTTTGAGGTGAAAGGAAGATGTTTTGGGCTGAGAGCAAGGCATTTTGGGTTGAAAACTAGACCTTTTGTTGTGAAAATGACACTTTGGGGTGAAAGCAAGGCATTTTGAGGCCAAAAAAATGGGCGTTTTGGGGTAAAAAGACATGTTGTGGTGATAACTATATTTTGTGTTAAAAAGAAGGTGTTTTGGGGTTTAAATGAGGTGTTTTGTGGTGAAAACGAGGTGTTTTGGGTGTTAGAATTACATTTTGTGGTGAGAAGAATGCGTTTGGAGGTGCTAGAGCCCTCCTGGCTCCAGAGGCGCTTCTTAACTGTGGTTCCTGCAGTGTGGCAGCACCACTGGGGGAATATTTCCCAAGCTCCTGACCCTGCAGGAGGTGGTAGCCATGTCCAGTGCCCCTCGCCTCTGTTGGCTTCCAGAGAATCCCCTGCTCTGTCCCACAGCTGCCAGCCTGCCTCTCAGCCTCGTGTTTTGAGGGCTTAGAAGCCCTGTGTATGTTCAGGAGGCCTCATACTGCTCCTGAGAAGAGCGGGGCAGTGCGGCTGGGCAGGAGCTCTGCTGCCTTTACCCTGCTCCTGCAGTCCTTCCCTGCTCCCAGCGAGGTGAGCCATGCTTCCATGTGCTTGTGGTGCCCGCTGGTGCCCGAGTCTCAGAGGAGTAATTCCCTGATCCCAGGTGCTGCTCTGTCATAAAAATCCCGGAGCAGCGAGGCATGGTTGTTCTCTGACTCACGCTTCTCAGTATTACGTTGTTAAATACCAAACACATGAGCCTGGTTCTGCCTTTGGCTGTACCAGGAAAAATCCAAAGTAATGCCACTTGGGCGAGGGACATTATTCCACACCCACTCCAGCGTCATTAAGAGTAGATCTGTTCCCTTTATTTATTTCTCTTTAAATACATACGCAGGTCTCCTTTGATGTTGTACCAGTATGAATTTTCGCTGTCTTTGAATTCTGCTTTTGGCTGCGCTTATCACACTTCAACTGAAGCTCATCGACTACACTGCACTGCCTTTCCCATGTTCCGTGATTTTTATCTCATTTTGGGAATTGATGTGAAAATCACCCAAGCCTCAGATTTGTAGGATTAGTTTTAACTTGTGTGACCTGATTGTGTAAAGGACATGCTGAAAACGTAGCTGCCTCTGGGGCAGGTACGGGGTGGAAACTGCATTACAGCACACTGAAGTGGAAGGGGGATTTCTGAAGACAATGAAGTAGCGCAGGTAAAGCCCCTACAGATTAACAGCCTTTAAAGCTAAGATAAACAGTTGCAGTTATCTTGTCTGACCTAACTTCCTGGAGTTAATTCTTGACTGAATTAGAACAGGACTTCCTGAACTAATTTATGGTTAAGGAGGCATAGGAGGTTCTACCAGCTTTTTCACAGGTGATCTGTGGCACCCTATTCATCAGCGGAATTTAAGGATTCATTTGCTTTGGGTCACTCTGCTTTGTGGTTTTCTTGTCTTGTTTGGAATTGTAGTAGTGGTACTGTGGACACTGGAACAAATTTAGCTTCTAATAGCTCCCTAATTTAAAGCTAAATTCAGAGTTTTTTTTTTTGACCTAGAACTCGATAAAGGCTCCACAGGGATTCCCTATACAAACATACAAAACACAGCCTTTGTAGAGGGTCCAGGCAGAAGGGAGCAGCAGTGCAGGATATTGTTCTCGGAGAGCCCTTCTGCTCGTCAGTCACAGGCTACTGCAAACCAGGCAGGTTAACATACCACCTAATTATTTGATGGGATTCATATTCTTTCACAAATGCGATGAATAATGCACGTGCGTTGAATCAGGCCAGAGGAAAACTATTCCTTCTCCAGCTTATTATTAACTCCTTGTTGTATAACGTACTTGAAATCGGTTGGTTCTGTGGTATTTTAATGTGTGGGTGGGTGGTATATATATATGTGAATAATTTAAACTGTAACACATGTCTCTCTTTGATATTTGACTTGAAACTAGAAAACAAAAATGAATTCTATCCACCTGGTTTTGCCCTTCCTTAATACTGGCATCTCCCCTGCAGTGGGTATTCTGCATTTTTTGTCTCCTGTAGGTTTGAAATGCTCCACTGTTGGGGCTTAATCTGAAGAAAGGAGCTCATTTTTTGGGGGGATGTGTTTTTTGATATTGTGGCTTTATCTCTCTCTCTCTCTCTTTTTTTTTTTTTTTTTTTTTTTTTTTTTTTTTTTTTGTTAATCCCATCACATGTTCATATGTGTCCTTGAGACTGCTGAAAATATTTTCTCTTCCCCTTGGTAGGCCTACAATATCAGCACATAGCTTTATGTTTTGTCCACTGCTTTTATTCTTACTAAAACAAAATACATTTTAATTGTGATCTATCTTCAGTCTTCTACAGGGGCCCCTTTATGTAGAATGAGTGTATTTTGAGAACAAAAAGTCTTTTTTTTTTTTTTTTAATGTATTCAGCAAACTGTTCATTCTTACAGTGTTACAGAAATTTAAACAGTCTTAAGTATGGAAAACTTATGAACACCCCTTTGAAAGCATACACCTTGCCCCAGTTTCTGCTGCAACCAAAGGAGACTCCAACTCTCCAATTCCAATTTTGCAGGCACTTCGCAGAATTGCTTTTTTCCACGATAATGAGCAAGAACGGGGTCCTGGAGCCCTCTGGTGGATGTCTTGCAGAAGACAGGCAGCTGAAAGCGTAAGTAAACGAACTTTAAAAATGCTGTTGCTATTTTCCCATCCTTATTTCTCAGCTGATTATAAATGTGCTTAATTTGAAATCCAAAAGGTGATTATTTCTGTCACTCCTGAGAGAACTCATGTCACAATTTCAGAGTCTCACGGGTGAATTGACCTGCATCTCAAGGCTACAATCAGATTTAATCAAGACTTTTTGTCTTTACTTTCTTGGTAATAGGAAGTTCTATGCGAAAATTTCCTTCATTTATCACAATTACAGTGGTCTTGTAGTCAAATAACAGACGATTCTGAGTTTGTGACAAAGTAATCTATTTCATTCACAGGTACAAAAACTTTTATGATAGAGAATTGGGTGATTTATCTAAAAATAAATAGAAAAGTAAGTGAATAATAAGTAAATGAATAATTTGTCTGTCATCTTTCTGTCAGGGACCTCATTGTGCTTTACATTTGTGTCTTATTTTATATACAGTAGGCTGGAACACAGAAAGATGACATGTATTTCCAAAAATTTCAGTGTGTGTCTGTGACAGATCTGGGAAGAAGAATTAGGAATTTAGGTTCCCTGACTCATCCTGTGTTAACAAGTTTGTTCCTTAGGAGCATTTCTGAGGATGTGAAAAAACAAAGCAAATGGGGGACAAAGTCTTTTTTCAGTCTCTGGTTGTAACACATTCAGCAAAGCTGGTCTATAAAGGGACTGGGGTGTGTGCCTTTTGCTGCTCCATTGATTTGGTCAGCTTTAAAGGAGCAGTAAGAAGATGATACTGAAAAGCCCTGAAGAGATGGAGGCTTTTGTTCTGCAGAAGGCCCTTGGTGCTGTTATATTGGATACTGATGTACTTAAACCAGTGAAAAAAGTAGTTCTAAAGTTGGTGGTGGTTAAATCAAAAGTCAAACAAGAAATGCCCAGGTAAAAGTGTCAGATGATCCCACAGTTTGGAGGAGCTTTTAGACTGCTAAATATTTGGAAGTGGTGACCTGTGTGCCGATGCTGTAAGTGGTATGTACTCTACGTCAGGCAGCTTTTTTGAGTTTCTCGTAGGTGTAGCTAGTCAGAGTTCAGTAATGGGCTGATTCTTAGTCATTGCATATGACTCTCACTGTGCAGGTTTTCTTTTTAGCAAGTGTAATACAGGGCTTTCTTGGTAGTATTGCTGTCTGGGACAACACTGTTACTGTTATGTTGTTCATAAGCAAATGACTTTGCAGCATCAAGACTGCTGTGACTCCTTGCATTTTATCTGTGAATGCAGGCCCTACTGCCACGAAGGACTTTCTGTCTCTAGGATGTTGCTTCTCAGCCACGTGCCAAGGTAGTGGACACTTTGCCGGGCCAGGGACAAACTGGTTTAAATATCATTTATTGAAAGCTCATTGGTTTGCCATGTGTATTTTATATAAAATATTGACAGGACCTGTTCTGCTGCTGCTTTTATATGTGAAAGTAATTTTTGTGTTTTTTTTTTTTTTTTTTTTTTTAGCAGCTAACTCAGCCAGAACCCAAATATGAAAGCTTTCCCTAATTTAAAGGAATTTTAAGAACTGGAAAATTTTAATACTTATCTAGCTGCATTTGAATGTGTCTCTGAATTTGCATAATAAATGCCTGATCTTTGCTGTTGGCAGAACTAAAATATGGAGAGGATCAGAATATGATTTAAGCACTCCATCTTTCTCTAACTTCTTTTGTTCAGCTGTCATGGGAAAAAAAATCTATTTATGTACTGGAAAGAGGTTAGGACTCTTAGGTTCTGATTCTCACCTCTCTCTGTCCTCAAGCATTATCTTCATTTTATAGATGGACAAGGTGAGGCTAGCAACACTTTACATTTTGTTAAAACGTTTTGAGGTCTGCTACTGAAAAGTGAATTCAAAAGCTTCAGACTTCCTGTATAATTATGTAGCTTTTCTTTTACTTATCCAACTGCTTCATCTCAGGCAGGATGAAAAGAAAAAACATGCTCAGCTGGGATAATGTACCTGCCTTCAGAGCATTCTGATTAAATTATACACTATAAAATTATCTTTGAGTAAAAAAAAAAAAAAAAAAAAGGGGGGGGGGGAGGGAGAAAAAAAAAAAAAGGATGCTGCCTTCAGGAGTTCCCTCAAGAGTTCTAGGCAATTTGTGTCTTTTGGTTTTGATGGCTGGTATTTTTGGCCAGAATATTCCCAGCATGTAGGGAAAGAGCACAAGGTGCACCTGGTTCCTTGTCGTCTTTCGATGCCCTGCTCTTGGAGGGTTCTGCTTTTTAGATTTGATTTGCACTTAGATTTGATTTGCACTTGAAAAACAAGTTTGCAAAAACGGTTTTAGGAGACAAAGTCATTCTAAGCAGCAGTGAGAAAAGCTGCAGTGTCTGAGAACAGATATAACCATTGAAGAAATACTTAGCTTTTTTTTTTTTTTTTTTTTTTTTTTTTCTGGTTCCCATAGGTATGTATTTGTAAAAACACTACAACAGGTGTACGGTGGAGGATGAATGTTGTTACACAGAAGTTGCCATCTTCTAATGTGGACTGTGTAGGAAATACCCTCTTCATAGAGCACACCCTGGTGAACCAGAAGGATTAATTTACTCCCTTAAAAATTTTACTGTACTCCTAACTACTCCCCATGGAATCAGTTAATCCTGCAGTTGCTGATAAAAGCACACTCACTTCCTTTGCATAGCCCAGTTACTTTGCTTGTTGTCTGAAGCAGTCCTCGAGCCTGGTTATTGGGCAGCAGGTGGGCAATTTGTATGAGAACTGCTAGAGCTGACAGCTGAGGGCTGTTGAAGATCAGTGCAGCAGCTGAGCACTAGATGCCACTCTAAGGCCACAGTAGGAGCTTTGCAAGCCTGCTGCAAGAACCGTACTGGTGGAGAAGGCCAGGACACTAGGTCTCAGAAAGCCCTGTGCGGGAGGGAGACAGGCCGTGCTCCTTGCATACCCCCCCCCAGTGAGGCTGACAAACCAAATGGAGAAGGTGAATTAGGAGCCACCAGCTGGGGATTCAGCCCCCATGGGAGTCAGGGCCTGCAGCAGGTGCTTCAGATGGGAATTAAACTTCCAGAGTTAACTAATAATCTCCCAGCTTTTATGGCTTTGTGCACAGGTGTCCTTACTTTTACCTGTTAGCCAGATGGGCTCAAAAGGAAGGGGGAAGATCAAGGTGAAAGGGCATTTATAGCTCCCTGGGTGGAATTTTGTGAGAGCTTAAGGATGGTCTGAAGAGCTATGGCTCTTACACTGTTTCTGCTGGTACGGTCCTTCTGCAGGCAGGTCTGTAAAAGTATGTGATCAGTAGAAATGTGGCTAACCTCCTCCTACACCAATCCCCTATGTGTCCTAAACATTGCAGCATTGTGCTGGGAACCAGACATCAAAACTGTCTATAATCTGACTTAGCTAATGGGCACGAGTCACAAACCTCAGCGTGAGACTTGTGTGGCTCACAAAATGCAGGAGTATCTGAATAAAGGTTTGGCTTGCTGTCAAGATAACAGCTCGTTGTGGAGTTTGGATTCAGATCAAGGCTGAAATGTGAGTTGAAGTTTTGATGGGACAGCATTTTTTCTGGGAATTGAGTTTGTTTTACTGAACAGTTTGAAAGTGAATACTTTCTGTGAATGCCCTATACTATACATCTTTTAAAACAATATTCTCTGTTCATGCAACATAAGGTTAGTAGCATGAATGTGTGCTTACAAGTACTGAAGAAGCTTCTCGAATTAGGGGTAGTGACAGCAGGCAAAGACTTTCTTGTCATTAACTGGGAGATAAGTCTGAGTAGGCCCTTCACCTTCTGAACTGCTGAGCTCTTGATGTTTCCACCTAGACACCCAGTGCTTTGTATGCGTGTGTGCATATATGTATATATATCCTCTTATATAGAAGGATTTATCAATGCAACGTCAGAGTTTTGAGTTAACTGTGTAGCTTGTAGTCCTCAGCCTTGACGAGGAGTACATGCTGATCAGGAGGAAGCAGGAAGGGATAAATCTCAGTAAAAATCCTACTCATTGATGCGTATTATTTCTCTTTCAATTACTTGGTATTCCTACATCAGGAAAAGTGTGCAATGCATTGCTGAGTGAGTTATGCTGGTTTCAAATAGCACGCTTACAGAGAAAATAAGATCTTCGCTGCTACTAGCTAGAGGAATATTTTAAGGAAGGGTAGAGGCATGTATCTCAGAGCTGAATGTTCTGGGGTGCTGACTTCTAGGGACACTAGCACTGCATTGCTGGTCGGTGGTCCTGCTCAGCCCTCCCATCTGTTCTGTGACTGGATCCAGCCTTGTTAGAGGAGACGTCTGTGGGGGGAATTTCACTTTAACAGAATTAAGTACTCAAAAAGAAATGCTCTTGAAATGGTAGAGGATTGTCTTTTTGGTGCTGAAGTTTTTGTATTTGCTCCCTGCCGACCAGTTTAAACGTTTGTTACGTGGAGGCCGTAAACCTTACTAGTGAAACAGGTAGCAAGGGTTAGAAACTCTGCAGCACTTCAGTAGCCTGGCAATATGATTCTAGTAAAAAGCACCAGAAAGAAATATTCTGTCTCTCCTGCCAGCACCTACCTTCTGGAAAAGCTACATACCAGCAGAGTGATTGTTTAGTGATGTATGGAGGGCTTGTATGTGTTTTTTCATGTATCCATATGTGAATGTATATTGTCCTACGGTTGTCTAACCCACCTGGGGTCCCCTAGGTCTGTGAACTAAAGCCTGTGTAGTTATCTAACACAGGATGTTGGGTCAGTTTCTGTTTTCCCTAACCTGAATTTAAATGCAGAAGCGAGTACTTTGAAGTAGAGCATTCTTGGGTATTAAGGAAGGAGCTTGGTCTTTCGTATGTAAATTACCCTGCCATTGCACACACAATCTTTTATCCATGAAGCCACCCAAGTCCTAACCTGGAATTTCAAGGTTTTCTGTCGGCAACATCCATCTTCTCTGGCCCTCCTCATATTAGCATTGATCTACAGTGGAAATAGAGAACACGGCTGTGTTAT